CGAACGAAAAGCAGTTACAAAAATTATTTAACCTGGATATTTTAGCTCAAATTGGACGTGAATAAAATATTTCAGAGGTAGAGATAGAGCTTTTCGTATAAAGAATATTTATTTGTTAAAATACAGAAAGTTTTTACCAAATTCCTGGGAATCACTAGAACTGAATTCCTAATAAATAATTAGAGAACATTCTAAATAATACAAAAAGCAGATTGAAATCGGATATCCTTTCGAGCCAAGAACAATTTGTTTAAACAGACAAAAGTATACTTTTACCAATTACGATTTTATTCGTAGCAACGGACACAAAGGGCGACCTTTAATTATGCCCGAATTCAATGTAACTCCATGGAAAAAATGTATATATGGCCCTCGGACAATTGGTTTCCCTTTATGCAAATATGGCAAATGATATTCAAAAAGTTTACCCTTTTTTTTACACCGGGCTTGGGGGTCAATGAGGTGTCAATCCATGAAGCAACCTTTCGAGCAGCCATCGAGCAATTTACTTTAATCAACTTAAAACGCAATGCCTGATAACAAAAGTTTTTAATTGGGTTGTCGCTGTTTTCTGCCCAGCTGATGCTGCTGCCGCCTTCTAGCTGTTAGCCTACACTGGAAAAAAATGTTATGTAAATTTTAAATTTTCTTTAACCTTATATCGTAGTGCAATGTTTCTGTATCATATCAAGAAGGAAGTCATAGGAGAGAGATCCTTATCTTTACCATTGCCTAGGTAAATTCTCACAGTGCATCCGTCCATGCTGTTGGTGACAACAACCAAAAAGCGAAGAGACAAAAAAAAGGAAAAGCGAAATTTCCTTTCTCTGAGTACACGAAATTTGTTCAAAGTTAAAAGTTAAGCAGCATTTTACAGTTCCTTTCATAAATTGGTTGAGCAGGAAAGGAGGAACTCCCGCCGCCTTAAGACGAGGAAAGGGAATCCCCCGGTTTGCAGCATTGCCCGTGTAATTATACCAAAGCGGAAGGAGAAAGTGGGTTTTTGAGCTGGAAAGTGAGGGAATGGGGATGTGGAAGTGGAGGGTCAGCCACTGTGACGGTTCATTGCACAGCCAACGCTGGCGCCCACGCAGGACACAATGCTCATGTAAGTATGAACAAGTATGTTCTGCCCACGCACACAGACACAGACCACGAAGGCAACCAGAAATACTCTCACACAGATACTAAGGACACACTGAGTTACATTCAATTTAGCGTTCAATCACGCCGCTTAAACGGCAGCAACAAGGAGCAGACAGAAGCGCCAGACAATAGTTTCCTGATTGCATGGACAGCTTTAAGGAAATGACGAGCCAGCTGGATTGACTGCCACCCACGCACTGGGCTATATACAGTTGGACTCAGGTTAGTAGTACTTTTTCAATTTTATTTTTGTTAATAAACATGATAGAGAATGGCAAGTCCTTGAACAATTTTATATTGTATTTCCAAATCTATATTTTCCACGAACTGGTGAAGGATTAATTAACAAATAGGGTAAAATTTCACAGAAATTCCAACATAGTTTTACAGATCTAATTTATGTTTTTAAAACTTTCCAGCGGGTGCTATTATTATTCTAATAACTTCTGTGGAAACACCCACTGAGAATGCCATGAGGACGCTGGAGATTTTGATGGAAAACTTCAAATTGATGAGCGGGCCAATTGACAGGACAAAAGGCAAAATGCTTTCATAAAACTTTCAAGGCAACCTCACAACCATTTAGTGCCAGTGCATCTTTAGGGGGTCGGCAAGGGTGGGGCCAGAGGGGGCTTTAAGTCCTGTTTGGGAGGTTGAAGACATGCCACCCAGGAGATTTGTGCTAGTAATCGGCTTAAATGACGATTCAAGTGACTTCCAGCCCGAGGGGATGCTCTGGGAAATTTCGAAACGACAAGAAACAGGACACCTGTGGCAGTGAAAGAAAACTTTTTGGGGCTTTCGTAGGCCAAATTCTTCTCCACCCCTCGATCCACCTTTGAAGTTTTTGAAAACTGCAGGCTGAGGGAGGGGAAAAACCAATTTTAATTGAGAAAATCGATGGCTCGTTTATCTCTCTTTCTCCCAGAAAAAAAAAAAAAAACCTTGAAAACCACAAGCTGCTTAAAATGAAGAAATTTACTCAAATTCCAGCTCAATGGAAAATAATACAAGTTGGCCGTTAGAATGGCTGCTTTAGAGGGGAAAATCAAAGGGAGGGAGACACTAACCATGACCTTCGACCGTTTGCATTCATGCGCAATTATTGGCTCTCGCATAATTAATGCGCATTTGAAAGAAACCCGAGTCCAAGTAAACAACAATAGAATCTGGCCAAGACATGACAGCATCAGGTTCGATTCTAAATTGGCTTATATTCAATTGCATTGATCAAATTCCAATTAGAGACAGGCAAATGAACTTGTTGTAGTTTCGACGGGAATTCCGAAAGGTAATCGACGGATGATTTTCCACTTAATCAGATTATCAGTAGTCCGATTAATTTATTATTCATTTCGAGTCAATTAAGTATTCATTTGAAGTCAATAATGCTGATTTTTAATTTGAAATTATTGAGTTTAGTTTACGAAATAAATCAAATAAATCCATTAAAATTATAAACTTAAACTTAATTTAAATGAATAAATCAAATTGGAAAACTGAAACCAAAATAAAAATTGAAAGAAATAACAATAATTAAGAATGTTAGAAAGAAATCTAAGTGCTTGTCTACATGATTGGTTTTTCTTAGTAAATTTCTATATTTCAAGTCTGTAAAAACCAACCACAAATTCTAATTTTAGCCTGGATTCCCCTTCTAGATTCATTTCCTATGCCGTTTCAAGGAATCTTTCAAACAGATTATCCAATTAGAAAGCAACCGAAAATCCCAAATCCTCTCAACGCCGCAAAAACCAACAAAAGTTGGCCCGAAAACATTTTCCGCTGCACTTGAATTATTAAATGCCAAACGACAGCCAGTCTGCCATAATTGTTTTCATTTATTTTTAAACTCGCGCAGGACCTTGTCAAATTACCCAGACACACATAGACACACACACACACAGACACACAGGATGCTAAAGCGCCAAAAATAGCAAACAAAAAAGAGCTGCATTTTGCAAAGTGCAAGTGCTTTCAAAACTGTTTACATATGTCTACAAAATGGTTTTTTAAATTCTTAATGAACGCGCCACACGAAGTCAACACACAAGTCAGCACTTCACTTTACTTGGCTCGTGGAGTCTCGCGACGAATGTATTTTCGGCTGGAGCAGCTGAAGCAGCTGGCGTACAGCCTTACACCTGGCTAGGAAATTCGGAAAAGCTACAAAGGTTGTTGCGCGTCCGATGCTTATCGAGACGTCAACGTTCAGATTCAGTGTTCAGACTAGACTGACTGGCAGACCCAGGAGAACTCGCATCACTCCCATTTTGACTCGCAGCAGCCGAGTCCTTCGGCTCCGCTTCGATTTAAGTTCGAGTTTTGCAGGTCGTGTGGCTTCGGTTTTTTCGGCTTTGGCTTTGAAACATCAGCAGCCCTGGCCTAGAAACGTGCAAGGAGGCGCGGTATGGCTGGGGGGGGGTCCGAGGTCTCAGGTCTCAGGTGTCTGCTTAATAGGGTACATCAATTGCTTGCTGGGATATTGCCTTAACTCCTTTTCCAGTTTCATATCAATATCGTATCATATTTTGATTGATTTATCTGCCTTATAAGAATGCGATTTTAGATATCAAAAACTAATTAGGCCTATATTTGATATGCTTTTTTTGGGCATTTTTACAAAAATACTTTCTAGGCTAAAATCTTGAAAAAATACATAAATTATTCCCTTTCATATTTTGTAGTTTTACCAGCGCATGACCCACCCTACTAAAAATACTTAAGCCCCGGAGTCGAGCACGCGCCAAGTTTCACAATGGTGAAAGCGGAGAAAAGCGGGTTAGCAGGAGGAAAACCAGCAGCATCCAAGGCAACTGAAAACCGTTGCACTTGAACTTCACTGGCGGCCATTGCGGTGGTAAACTGTGTCTGTGTGTGAGTTATTTTGTATGTGTAAGACACTGTCTGTGTGTGGTGAGTGAAAGTGAAAGGCAACAGCAACAGGTCGCGCATGTGAAAGTGAGTCCTGCACACACTGTCATTTCCAGCCAGCCATCAATGTCAACATCAACAACGTGCAAAAGGTCGAACGCAGCGATTTATATTTATCCTGCGGGAAAAAAATCAATTTGGGGGATTTCAGAGCGCCCGCCAAAAATAGAAAATCTCCGGCGATTACCCCAACAATATGTTGCCTATTTAGCGGGGCAAACGGTGCACAGTAAGAAAAGTTTTTGACTTGGAAATTATTTTAGTTAAATGAAAATTTATATTTTTGGTTTTTTTTAAACAAACTGACGATTTAGTTATAAATAAAAAAAAAATCTTAATAAATGAATCATCTTTTTTGAGATTTTATACTGTTTACTGAAATAAACCCCTCGAATATTTATTTTTAAAATGTAAAAGTCTTCTATTAAAGTTTAAAGTGAAATTTCCTGTTTTTTCTCTCAGTGTCAAGGCAAAGACTTGTATTACCAAAAGGTACTGGCCAGCTGTTCCCCAATTACACACTCACAGCAAGCTAATGCACACAGACATACTCTTACTACATAAGCGAACCCATTCGAATGTGCGTCAATACATGGGCGGGGGTCTGCCAAAAGGGGCGGGGTCACAGGGTGCGGGTTTCATGCAGCAGGCAGCGCTACGGTTTCACCCACAATCGCAAGACTACGGCTATGCGAGTTCCGGATTTTCGGGCAACACCCTGAAGCTTCTGTAACTCGAACCACCAGCTGTCAGCATATGAAAATTTATTGCATTCTATAATTAAATCATATTTTATTTTATACAATAACATAATTAGCGGTAAATTCCCGGGAAAATTCCATTGGCTTTGTTCGAGTTACAGAAGATTTGACTAGGGGTTTATTTTGACCTGAAGATGTTTAACTGTTTCAAAAACTCACCGTTAGCGCAATGCCCACTGTGGCGGAGAAGGAACCTAGCCTGAACTCGCCCGTATTGTATTTCACCAGAAAGGATGTCTTGCCCACTCCCGAGTCTCCCAGGAGGATGGTCTTGTGGTTAACAGTATCATCAAAGGGCTGCTGATGTGCGGTGGGCTGGGCTGGGTGCATATCGACTTCATCGTAGCGATACGATCGCCAGCCATCGTTGTAGTCGTCCTCGTAGTCCTCGGCGCCATATGCATACATCTGCATTGCTTCGCGAGAGGGCCGATAACCCGGATAACCGGTGGCTGATCGCTGAACAGGCGCCATTATCGTATCGTCGTGGTAGTGATGACTTCCGGTTAAACTCTGCTGGCTGTGGTGGTGATGATACGAAGGATTATGATGGTGGTGCTGCGTCGACGTTGTCGTTATCGAGGCGGAAACGGAGGCGGGCGCTGCGGGGGGATTGTAACAGCCATCGCCGAAGGGCCGACGACGCAGCTCTTCGATCCTGGCCTGGGTGGTCTCTGCATCCTCGAAGACGTCGTCGCTCATGCTGCTAGCATCGTCGGGATGCGCTGATCCGGCTGGCGCTCCTCCAGCCCCTTGGCCTCCTCCCATTCCCAACGTTGTGGTGGCCATTGGTCTCGATTTATTGGCTTGTGTCTTGGCCAAAAGCCGTGCTTGAGCTTTTATCCTGAGCTTTCACTTAAGGCTTTCTCATTGGTCTAGTTTTAAGGAGATTCACTAAGCTTTTAATTTTACTTTCACTTTCCTTTTTACTCTCTTCTTATATGGTAATCTTCTCTTTATTCTTAGCTTTTTTGTTATCTTTGACTTTTGAACGAAACTATGTCAAATCATTAATGGTCTCTCTTCTGAAAGAGCTTTTATCCTGACCTCCTTTTAGATCCAGTTTGTTCTTTCTTTCTACTCCTTACACGTTTAACCAAACATCTGCTAAATAATTTTACCGGAAGTTTTTTTGTTATCATAAGATTTAGTCATTATCCTCTTTGATTAAGTGATTTTTTGCTTCCTTGTATTCAGAGATGTTGCCCGTTCAGATCCCTTAACCAATAGTTAAGCATTTAACCGGAGGTTTTCTTCTTACTCCCCATTTGTCAACTACGTTTGAGCTTTTCGTTATTTCTCTTTCCGGCACTTTCCTTACATTCTCTTTATGACTTTGACACTTGACGTTGCTACTCTCTAAAGCTCTGATTAGCTTTCATCCCTCATTATGATTTTGACATTTATTTTGTGCTTTCTCTCATCGGCATTTCGCTGCTTTCTCTTTATGACTTTGACATTTACCGTTGTCCGTCGCTGCCTCAGTCGACGTCGCTGCCGTCCGGTTGTGTGGCACGTTTTCTGAATGAATCTGCTTTTCATGGGCTTTCGGCGTGGATGGGGGGAGCCGTTGCTATTATTATTTCCTATTTGCTATAAGCTTAATATTTTCGCCAGCCTTATCAGTTGGCCAGTTTTCCTAATCGCTATTCGTTAGTTTTGCGTTCCTTACAGTAGAATCTAGGTATTGGTTTTTCTCCTTTTGTTGGTGTTTTGTTTGAAGCCACTAATTAAATGTTATCTATTTAAATTGTAACTAGCTAAACATATTGACTAATATTTTATAGGTTATGCTCTAATTGGTGCTGTTTTCACTATGCATTAAATATTTATTTAGTTATTTTTTATGGTTTGCAACGATTTGCTTGGTGTTTTTATATTTGTGGTTAAAGCTTTTGGTTAATTTCTCGTTTTAATCGTTAAATGTAATGACTATCCATTGGTTTTGCGTATCTCATCGAAAATATTGCGATTGATTTGAGGGGGGCTGGGTGTTGTTGTTATTGGTGTTATTCTTGTTGTTGTTGTTATTTCACTATCACAGCATAAATAAAATAATGTCATCGTCGTTGCCGCCCCCGCCACGCGAACCCTCGGCCAACATACAACTGGTAAAAAATATCTGCAGTCGCCACTTCCTTTCGACATCCTTTTCGAGCTTTTGCCACTCTTGTGCTTTCGCTCTCTTGCACTCTCTGTCTTTATAGATTTGACATTTGAAGCGTTCAAAGGCAGGGAACTAGTTCGTTAATTTAATTTAATTAATTTAGATTATAATTGAATAGAAATGTGGATTAGAGAATCTGTTTCATTTTGGTAAATGACAAAAAGTCTTATGTTTAGTGATTTTAACTGTCAACTCGTATTTGTGTGATCATTAAATAGTTTTTTAACATTAACATTAACATTAATTATTTAAAATGTTTTTTCTATATTTTTATATTCGTTATTCTTAAGCCGCAATAGTTTATAGTTCATTAAATTAAAAATGGAACTAAATTAAACTTTTAAGCTATGGTTTTGTTACTATGAACTGAAATAAATTTATTATTAAATATAAGGTTTGTCTATTATACGTTAAATTAAAATTAATGTAATTAATGTGACCAGCTGTTTTGTGGTTAGAGTCCGCACTTTAAGTGTGTTGTTTTATTCCACTTGGGTTATGCCATTGCTAGATCTCAAGTTGTTGTAATAGTTTTTCGGTCACTCTGTACCATTAGCGATAGTATCGATTAATTTATTACAAGCCATCGAACTTGTCGCATATCGAAGTTTTCTCATCTCTAAACTAGAAAAACGCGAAAACGGAGAATCGTAAACCTAAAGTTAATTGCAATAATAATACGAATAATTATCAAATAACTAATTAAAAATGACGGGTCGCGGTAAGGGTGGCAAGGGAAAGCGCGAGAATGCTACCGAAGATAGAGATGATTTCCTTGTGTACGCGGCCGAGAAAATAATCCAAAAGCGCGTTAGAAAGGTGAGTGAGCGTAAACAAATGCAAGAAATACAATGAAAACGAGGAGCTTCGCTTAAAATGCAGAACGCAATATGCGCAGCACACACAGGATATATGTATATTCCACAAGGTCACATGTCCTTCGTCATTTTTTGGCCAGAGGACATCTGCTGCAGCAACCACCATTTGCACGCTGCATGTGTGTGTGTGTGTTTGTGTGCGTTGTGCGTGCGTTTATATGTATGTGTGGCGTGTGTTTTTGTTGTTGTTGCGCTTGATGGAAAATCAATTAGTTGTCTAAGAAAATGCAATATTGGTTCCGTTTTCAATTTCTTCTATTTTTCAGGGAATTGTAGAGTATCGCGTCAAGTGGAAGGGTTGGAACCAACGCTACAACACCTGGGAACCGGAGGTCAACATCCTCGATCGTCGTCTGATAGACATCTATGAACAGAGCAATAAATCCTCGGGCACACCCTCTAAGCGTGGCCTCAAAAAAAAGGAGAAGGAACCTGATCCGGAGCCGGAATCCGAGGAGGATGAATACACATTTACCGGCGACGATGTGGATACCAACCAGGCCACCACCTCTGCAGCTGGCCAGGATCAGGAGGTCAAAAAGGAGAAGAAGCACCATCAGCATCATCACCATCACCATCATCACCACATCAAGTCCGAACGAAGCAGCGGACGGCGTTCGGAATCTCCGCTGACCCACCTTCATCATCACCACCACCACGACTCCAAGCGACAACGCATGGAACACAGCTCCTCCTCAAACAGCAGTTCCACCCATAATTCCTTTGTTCCCGAGCCAGACACCAACTCATCCAGCTCCGAAGATCAGCCACTGATTGGCACCAAGCGCAAGGCCGAGGTGCTTAAAGAATCGGGCAAGATTGGAGTGACGATTAAGACCTCGCCAGATGGTCCCACAATAAAACCTCAACCAACACAGCAGTTAATGACCATCCAGCAGCAACAACAACAGCTTTCCCAGGATCAGCAGCAAGCGGAGAAAATATCTAGCGAGGCAGTTACGCCACTTAAACCCGAACTGCAAGGCACAAATCTGGCCCTAGAAGCCACAACTACCACTCCCGCAGAATCTGGAGCCGAGGAAGAAGAGCTAGCTATCGAGGAGGGTAACCAACAACCACAGGTTCCAGCTTCGGAGAACAACAATATACCAAAACCATGCAACAACCTGTCTGTAAGCCAGAAGCAGCCACTAACTCCTCTTTCCCCGCGGGCCCTGCCGCCTAGGTTCTGGCTGCCGGCCAAGTGTAACATATCCAACCGCGTTGTCATCACCGATGTTACCGTCAACCTGGAGACCGTCACCATACGCGAGTGCAAAACAGAGCGGGGTTTTTTTCGGGAGCGCGACATGAAGGGCGATTCGTCGCCAGTAGCTTGAGCTACGGCCCGAACAAAAGCCGGCAAAACGAAACGGAAACCTGAAACAATTGTAAATAGACAAACCAAAATGGAAGAAACTTGAGAGGAGCACTAACAAATCCACACTAGATGTTGCTAAGCATTTTCTCTTTAGGACTTAACTTATTTATTGTATTTATTTATAGCATAGATATTAGTTTGTTGTTTTATTACAATGTTTACTGTGCAAAAGTAGCTTGAGCAAGCGCAAGTCGCTCATTTACTAAGAGGTTTTAAATTGTATACAAATTTTTATTTCATTATTTATCATCTCTTCAATTTGTGAATATTTTTCCATGTAAATTAAGACTTTTAATGTTTATTTTATATTTGCAATATCTAAAATTTTAAAATCTGAATATCTTTTAGTGAATGAACGAAGTGCTGCAACTGCTTAACTTGCCACTGCAATAGATTGTAAAACATGCAGCATAGATACATATGTATGTCGTACATATATTTATTTACCATATATTGTATATTTTTCGATAACACTTTGAATCTGATTGAGAACAACACAAGACACTCATATGCTACAAAACTCCATGCGAAACCGAAGCAATTGTTGATTACGCTTGATATACAATTATATACAACTAATGAAGCATATATTCGAGTATATCACCATGTTTGCCAAGTTGGCTATCCCAATGTTGTAATTGTTTAATATTATATTTCCTCGCGCCGACTGATTTTACAAAACAAAAACCCGCAAAAAGATATATACATATGTAGTTTGATAACTATTTTTATAACTTAGCTAACCACAATCTCCACTTAATATTTATTTTAAAATGTTCTACTATTAGCAGTCATTCAAGGCTCAAGTGCTGACTTTATGGGTTCAGAGCGGTGCAGTGCACACATAATTCCAACCGAGCCCATAGACTCAATACTTAACTCCTATGATTATTACACTATTTTTAACCGCTTTACGAAAGGATACTGCGCGGGAGCTGTGTAGAATTCACAAACTTTTGTCTATTTCACATGGTTCCTTTGAGTTGAAATCCGTTTGTGTTAGCTATTTATTGGCTAGTTTTAGTTACGGCGCTAATTCCACACAAAATAAGCAACTCAAAACGTATATTTTGAGGTTTGTAATGTAGTGTTTAATTTTAATGTTATTGCCGGTATCGATTGTACATAATAAATTAAATAGAAGCAACCAAATATTCTATTCTAGGGTGTTTTCAACTACTGAGATTGATTTGCATCTAATATCCAGTCAATATCATCAATCTACGTCTGCGGGAGGATTAAACTATATGAGTAAGGTCTATCATTCAACTAGTTTGTACACTTCTATATGTCCAAATTTATGTTAGGCAGATCTCATAAGGGGCGGTACCTATTGATGAAGGAGTTAATTATGGGTGCCACCTTTTCCGGCTCATTGAGGTGGACATGGTGAGTTCCTTCAACCTCGTGGAATTCAAATAGGGGATTCTTTTGCAATTCTGCTAGAACCTCATCAAAGTATTCTTTGCGTTCGTAATAAGGAGCCTGCAAGGCTTTGATAAACAGATGTGGACACTTGATCCGTCGAGCCATCTCCATCGGAACTTCCTGGTGCAATGTGTAGAATAACGATGACTTCAGTCTATTGTCGCGGGAGAAGTAATACTTGTGCGGCTCATGCGTCGAGGGCTTGCAGTTCCGCTGCAGCAGATACTTGCAGGCATCCAGAGAAACAGATTTATTCGAGCCCTCATGCAGTCGCATTACCATCTGGTCCCATTCGTAGGCGGGCGGCTCAGAGCCACTCTTCAGACGTCGTTCCAGCTTCAAAGTAGATTCAATTCTTTCACCCAGAGCATCCACAATACTGCGGGAACTTCGAACGGGCGGTTTAAGCACATCCAGGCCGACAAACAAATCCACTTTGTCGGGAAACAGAGCACTAAAGACAAAGCCATTGATGGAGCTCATTGAATGAGCCAATATGGAGATCTTGTCCCAGTTGTATTCGTCCATTAGTCGGCGGGTGACCAGTACGAGGTCAACGGAGTGATAGGAAGTACCAGCTGGCAACCAGGAGGAAAGACCATGACCTGGGGCATCGATGCTAAGGAAGGAGAGATGCGATGGCAGGAGCGGAGCCAAGGTATCGAAGGTCCCGGCATTATCTTGCCAGCCGTGCATGCCTACAATGGGTCGCACATGCTTGGGTCCATACCATTTGCCCGATATGTGACCCCATGGAACAGGTATGCTAATTTCATCAAACTGCGTAAAGAAGACCAATATGATATATATTTATGAAAACTGAAATGACTGTGGTACCTACATGCTTGGTAATGATCTTCAGAGGTTTGGTGGGGCTATTGCTATAGTTCCGCACATTTGATAGCTCTTTAATAAGTCTGAGACTCCTAGACACCTTCATTTCACGATAAGATATGATATTTTCGTTGAGTAATGTCACGTTCTTTTCATTCGACTACTGCGCGACTAATGTTCTGGCCGTGATTTCACCACACATGGATGGCGATGAGAGGCAGTTTTGCCAGATGAACTTTGATCTTGATACGTAATATCTAAGAAAACTATGTTTCAGCAAGGTTTTTAATCTTGTCATTCGGTGGCGGCTGCTGGCGACTAACAACACTGGACATAAACTTGATGAGTGTGCTTTTCAACACTAAGTTTTCGGTTATGCGCAAAGCGTTCAAGAACTTTACGGAAATATATGTTGTTTTTGTTTTTTAGACAATTATGTTAATTTGTAAGATATAGGATATCTTCGTACTATATGCAATGAAGTTAAATAATTAGTTAACTAACCCCAAAGTACACGAACTTAAAAATTAAATTTTACATTCGAAATCTTCACGCTGCATAAACGTTGCCGCCCATTCTCAAGTTTAATGAACAGCTGTAGATAAGTTTGTTTTTCATTTGCTCGCTGTTTTCACCTGTTTGTTGTACGAATAATTTATAATTAAATACAATAATTGAACTAAAAGCGGTGAAACAAATCTGACAATACAAAAAAGTATTAAAACGTATGGAAAAAGCCACAATAAAAAGAAAACGTGAGTTTTGATTTGCTAAGGGGATCACCTTGACCTTTGACACCTTCAATGAGGCGCCGGCATCGATTTGGATATTAAATAGTATTTTTTGACTATTTCTCTTTAATGTTTACTTTCGGATTTTCTATGTTTCTCCGCCTGTTTTTGTTAACTAATCGCCGTGCTAATCTCCACAGGTCGTTGTTACTGATAAGCTCCGAAATTGGCTAAACTTTGGAATTGGAGCTCATTCGGTTTTCGGACACTTCAGAGGGCAGAAATGGACTCGGACGACAACTCAAGTGGCACAACCGGCAGTGATCTCGGTCAGCGTTATCGACATGCAGGCGACTTAACTGGCGAAGCCCCGTCAAGACCCGTAAGTGTACTTTGAACTATTCTAGTGCAGTTTCAAAAACTGGCAGAGGTTAAATACATTTTTTTCGGGAAGCTTACACACAAATGTAACAGATGCTATTCTAAAAATAAATACATTCTTTATCAACGTTGATAAAGCCTCATATGTATCTGGTTGAAGAATTTCACAGACCTTTCAATGCACGTACATATGTACTTTATATACAGGTGTCTTACAGAATCCCTAGTTTTCCTTTAGAATCGTTTTTAGAAACAAAGGAACAGAACGTAAAATTTCCTTATTAAACATATACTCATAGTTTCATTAAGATTATTTATGAAAGATAAAGACCTATTCCTCAGCTAACTTACTCGTATGTTTTACTACCTTTTCAGTTTGCCGAGATTAGCATTACGGTTCCATGGGGACACATATCTGGAAAATGGTACGGCCCGCAAAATGTTCAACCTATTTTGGGACTCCATGGTTGGCAGGATAATGCAGGCACCTTTGATCGTCTGATGCCTTTGCTATCGCCGGATGTGGCCTTCCTCTCGATCGACCTTCCAGGCCATGGATTATCATCTCGATTGCCCGACGGCTGCTACTACAACTCCGTTGACAACCTATATGTGATACGCCTGATCATGAAGCAGTACAAGTGGGAAAAAGTATCCCTAGTTGGACACTCAATGTCGTCCATTATTTGCTTTGTGTTCGCCGCTGTCTTTCCGGACAAAGTGGACATGATCATTGGCATTGATGCCCTGAAGCCTCATCAACGGCCGTATCCTTCGGTTATTAGAACCATGGAGACCCGACTGGATGAATTCCTACGCGAGGATGAGAGAAATCGGAGCAAGAACGAACCACCGAGTTATACGTACGATGAACTAATCGAAAGGGTGTATATCGGCACATTCCATTCGGTCAACAAGGAGCACTGTAAGCATTTGATGGCGCGCAATATTAGCAAGTCGGAAAAGTATCCGGACAAGTACTTCTTCTGCCGTGATCGGCGCCTCAAGTTCTACAACTATGCGATTGGCTCCCAGGAGCTTTGCGTAGAGATGGCCAATAGGATCACATGCCCATACTTGTTCATCAAGGCCGCCCAGTCCTCTTATTTCGAGGACAAAAAGTACTACGACGAGGTGCTGGATGTGCTGTTGAAGAAGCCCAACTTCGAGTACCTGGAGGTTAATGGCTCGCACCATGTGCACATGAACGATCCGGAGGCCATTATCGCACCGGTCAACAACTTTATCCAGCGCTTCGGACCGGCGGCAGTAGCTGCATCGCGTCAGAAGGCCAAGGAGGCGAAGGAGAGCAAGCTTTAAAGGGTCTACTATATGCAATGGCAAATGGAGCTTATTTATTGTTACACAGATTGCACAGGTTTTTATACTTAATTGTTGATTATGTGATCGAGGCAGAGGACTCGTCTCTGCTATAAATACACAATGTACATATACCAAAAGGTTGTTCGACACCGATTAATGGGAAAGTCGTGAAGGATACTGGGAAACTGGTTATGCAGAAGGTTTAACCCTTTTGGCAGCACGCTTAGTATACATTTCAAAATAATATATTTTTGTCGAACTGGAAAAATATTTAATTAAATTAATATTAAAATGGCTTTACAATTTTTAACGAAATAAAATCTGTTTTCTCAAGGAATGTTAAAATCTTTTACCTTTTTTCTGGTCTTTGCCATTTCAAAAATATTAAAAAGCTTAAACAAGTTCAGAGATAAGTATATTATAATGATTGTGTATGTTCCACAGTAATTCGACTTACATTTTTTTGCAGTTCCCCTAAGAAGTAGCCGAAGTAACTTGTCTTCCGATAGCCGACAGTTGACCTACATCTTCTCCAAGTAGAATCCAAGCAGCGAAAGTGTTAATAACCCGCAAACCAGTTTCACAAATCTCAGCCGGCTGTTGCATCATTTTCTAGACTCTTTCTTGGCAACATCATCGTTTTCGGCTGCCGGTCCGCTCTGGAGGTCAACCCCAGTCGGATTTACATGGAAATGATATTTTAAAAGATATATTTTTAAGAAATAACTAAACTGAGGCAACAGGGGAAAAGAAGCCAAGTAAGTTGATGGCCCTGCGGCTTCCACATTTGTCTGCAACTCATGTTCGTCGGATGTTGCTTCTGCTGATTTTTTTTTTTTGCCTTGGTCAGTTCCTGGGTCTGGTTTGCAGTGTGATAAATGATCTTGGACAGTCTTTTAATTTGTCTTCAAATGGTAACACATTTAATATGCAAGAAGTATTGATTTAATTTAGAAAAACACCCAAAAACAAGATGGTCTCATGTTCCGGAATCACGTATTAGTTTGATGAATGAACCGATAATGAAAACATAACTTATATGGGTATGAAAAATGGCTTTGAAGAATAAGACATTCTGACATAATCTAGCAGAGATTTGAAACTTCTTCATTAACATCTCCAAAAATAATTATAACTCGAATGTGTGACACTCCAAAAAAACAAAACATAATATTATATAATTTGCATGCAATTTGAGGGTAAAAATTATGAATTCAGATGGGTCGGCGGAACTTTCAAGTTTGCAATCTAGTACAACGCATTTTTTTGCCGATTTCCATAATTAAAACAAACTAACTCTGTTCAAATGATCAGCATGGCTGTGGGTATATTTGATGGAATTTTTCAACATATTTTTTGTTTTTGTTTTTTTTTTTTTGTGGGTTTATGTACAGACTTCTTAGAACTAGATATAACTCATTTTTAGCAAAAGCACTGACTAGGCTTTAAATGGGGTATCCAATTCAGATTTAGTTTTGCTGTTGCGGGGGGTGTGCGGCAATGTATTCGAGGGCGCGAAGGATGGCCTCTGGAATTGGGGGAGGAGTGGGAAGGTGAGCGCCCTGAGGCTGGTAGCCGTTCTCGTCGGCGGTGTATGTCAGCGCGACCTGCTCGCCTTCAGGGGAGACAAAAGCATAGCTGCCGACTTTTCCATTGGGGTTACCAGACTCCTGTGCCTGGATGCCATTGCTGGTTTCATAGGCATAGTTGTAGTTGCCCTCGGGATCGGCAGGCAAGACGTCCGACCTCGTGATCACCGCATCCTTGTTAATGTTATCCGCATATACACTGGCCAGCATCAAGGCAGCGACAAGGCAGAACGACTGAAATAGTTACTCGATCACAATTTAAATCCTTTTGGACGGCAAAGTTTACTCACTAGCTTGAACATCTTGCTGATTTCTTGGTTTGAATAATCCACACTGATTGGGTGATCTTCGCAGGCGGTGGCTTTTATAGCCAGCTCTCGTCTGCGCCAACTTTGGCGTTGGCGTCGCCACTGCTGACGTCTCTAATCTGGCTCTGAACTCCGAAACGCCGCTCCAAACAAAATATCAAACTTAATACGTTTTTGTGTGTGTTTTTCGGCAAAGAGCAGCATACCGATCGAATTTAATAAAATTCAGCGCAGCCGCAGAAAATCAAAAAAAAAATAGAAAGGAGGTTTGACTTTGGGCACCCGGAACGCGGAATACCCTTGCTAGATGGATATGTTATATCTGGATGTACCAAGAAGCGTATTCTTCGGCAATTTCGTCAAGTCCAATTTAATTGTCATCAGCATTTTGTTCGTTTTAATCGGTACTTCCCGTGTCAAATGAATAATACCGGAAATTTAATTTTCTATTATGATTGATCGGTTTTAGGATTCGATATGGGTAAACTTTTTAAGATCGTTCTCGTTAAAGGTTGATTTTGATTTCTCAAATATAAGAATACCGACCTTTTCATCAAGACTACATAAAAATATAATACAAACTGGAAATACCTATAATTATTACTTAGCAAACCCCAGATCAGAGGAATAGCAACCATAGTAAGGGTATAGTGAAGCATCTGAACCCATTCCGATGGCTGCTGCTGATGGATCCACATCTGCCTTGGCAGCGGTAATCACCGATCTGACTTTGCACTTAATGGCTAATAGTTTCGGTTAGCTTTTGGGGGCTTGGGGTTTTCTCGATGGTAATGGAACATGTGACTGTGACATTCGCCCATCGAGGGTTAGTTCAGAGACGGACCTGAATTTGGAAGGGAGGGCCGGCACTCGTGCACGATTTAATTTAATTCAATCCCATTTATCATTTGCCTCAATTTCGATTTCATTGGCCATTTGGCTTAGGATGAGCGGAGGCGCAAACGTAGAACCTGTTTTGCTCATCAAGGAATTCTTAAAATCCCCAAAAATCTCAACAAGTTCAACACATTAGCATACAAATTTGCTGTCTAGTAATAAATTGCCTAGGCCTAAACGCACTTAGCACTCCTCCTAATAAAATGCCCATTAATCGTCGATCCACCTGATCTAACAAACTAGTTCAGACAGCCTACCCGTATCCAAGCTCTTATAAATTTAAATATATATGACGTATCGCACAGATGGTAACGACAACATTCACCAAAATTTGTATTTGTTAAATTGCCAAAATTTAAATATACAAATTCACAGATAATTTGCTTGCCTGGCTACGTATATATTCGAGATGCATTCCCCAAAAAAAGAAACAAAAACATGAAACATTATACAGCAGTTCTATAACGGTTTCCCGACCACTTTTTAATCAATATTTGCATATGGTTCCATTTATTTCGAGATTCTGAAATACAAATTGGATCGGACTCGTAGAAATTTGATAAAACTTGTTTCCATTTATAGTTGCAGCTTGGATTGCATAGAGAGTCAACTCTCATTAATAAAAGTATTTTTTTTTTTCATCTCAAGGCAGCGTTTCCGTATAGAATCCGTACTTATCCACATGATATAACAATCGTATATGTCCTCCGTCTGGCAGATTGAAAACAATATAGCCAGGTACTGTTTCGTTCGTCAGAATTTGCTCCTTTCGAATTCTTACATTCTTAATGTAGCCGTAAGTAGGGAAACAGTTTTTTGGAATTGGCCATGGCTCAACTTCCAGAAGTATAAGGGCAAGTAGGAAAATCCACTGTAGAGACCTAAGGATTATCCCAATAGATTATTACGTCTCTTTTTTTTGCGCTTTTATTCTACCTGAGTTGGGTGCAAAATAACATATTTTGACGTGTATTTCGTAGAGTCGTTTGTGTAGCAAAAGTTTCTTCAAGAAAGGCCTATAGTTAAGTGTGAACTATATTTAATTATCAGTTTTGTTCGGTTTCTGCACACTTCCTCATTGACCCGGAATAGTTCTCGAGAATTAACACAAATTTCTAATGATTTTTGCTATGCTAATTTCGCAACAAAAGCAGAGGTATAAATAACTTTGTTTAAACTTATCGCTTAGCCTTTGGGCAATCAATCAATTCGCCGAACATCAAAGTAAACAATTAATTAAAGTCATAAATGTAGGGTATCAGAAGATCACACACTGCATTGCTTAGCTGGACGCTCCGGGTGACATGCTGCCAGATGACCTTGTCCATCTATATATATACTTATCTCCAATCGGATTTCAACAGCTTTCCAGGGGCAAAAGGCATACCATAGCACCTGCCACTCCATTTGGAAGCTACGACGAGCCCAGGGCGCATCTCCAATTGAAAGTTGTAACAAGAAATCTTCAGCTGGCAGGGGGGAATTTCCAACGGTTTGTGAATGAGCCCAAAAACAGCCGCATTAAACAGCAATTTTTATTTGTTTGCAATTTAACATTTAGTGGTATCTCGTGCAGAGGCAAAATGACCGAAACTGAAACCGAATTAAAGCATACAATATAAATCGTTGGCAAATGACTCATGTATTTTAACTATAGTTCAGCTGAGCATTGTTGTTATTGTTCCCCATTATTGGCGGTATGATAAGACAAGTTTTTGGCAATTATAGCCATCACTCCTCGGGTCCTCGGGTTCCGTAAAACCCGTTTAGGTTGCCTGCAACTAAAGACAAGGGTCTCATCCATATAAAAGACGCACTTGAGCTGATCGAATTAAACAGTTGCACTGCAAGCATCACCATCACAGCATCAGCTTTTTAGCAAAAAGAAAATAAAAACCATTCTTAACAAGATGTACAAATATGTAAGTTTGGAGAAAGGACCTACTCCATGCTGACTCGCTGATTGTTATATTATCTTCTCATAGCTCTTCTGCTTGGCTATCATTGGCTTCGCCTGCGCCGACAATATCAACAAAGATGCCCAGATTCGTAGCTTCCAGAATGATGCCACCGACGCCGAAGGAAATTACCAGTATGCCTACGAGACCAGTAATGGCATCCAGTTCCAGGAGGCGGGTAATCCCAATGGTGCTCGTGGTGCCGTGAACTATGTGTCGCCTGAAGGCGAGCACATCTCGCTGACCTACACAGCCGACGAAGAAGGCTTCCATCCTGTGGGCGACCACTTGCCTACCCCACCACCAGTTCCAGCATACATCCTGCGCGCTTTGGAATACATTCGCTCCCATCCTCCTGCGCCCGCCCAGAAGGATCAGCAGTAATCCGTAAAATCATCAATGCCAGCACTCCTCACAGCACAGTAATTCCATATCGGCCAGTCATTGTTATTTTAGGACGTTTCAGTAGTTACCGTTAATAAAGAACGTCGATAAAAATATTTTCCCTTACATGTGTAGTTAACTGAAGAAACTAGCTATTTATATTATAGCTAATATATCTGTAGCTGGATTTTATCTACATATGTATGTATGTATATCTACATATATAACTAGCGGGTTCTGTAAAGGTCAAAATCATAGCAGTACTTTTCTGTTTTAACAGCATTTATATTTCTATGGAACTCTTCTAGAATAAAGAGTTTATACGTTAAAAATAGACTTTAAGAGAGTATAAAAATGTTTTTATTTTAGTAGTACTTCTTGTATTGTTCAATAGTTTTGACATCTTTCAAATAGTCTTTGCTTTAGGTAAAATTTTCTTTTGGATTGATAAATAACCATAATTCCGTATATATAAATTCATTATTAATAACTCAAACACTTTAATGGTCTATAAAAGTGATTCGGAATTCCCCAAATCTGTTTAGTGTTTTCTTTTTTGATCAATCATAAACATAACCACAACACAAATCTTTTAAAACCTAGCCAACCAACCTAAAACCCACTGACATGAACTAAATGATCTTTTAAAAAAAAACCAAAAAGAAACGCATGTTTAACGCACTATACTTTTAGGCTACCAGGTGAAAAAACACAGGAGCCCAAAAAAACATTTTCGTTCAATCTGCATGTTTTATTTCGCTTAAAATTTATGTTAGGTCGTATTTAAATTCGATCGAGCCGAACTTGTTTCGAAACTTTGCAAATGCTGCCCGAAGCTCCTCCCTTGGAGATGGCCAGCTTACCCGGAAAGAAATTTCCGTTTATTATTAAGTCATCGAAAGGTCGTCGAATAGAATCACGACTAATTTCCATCCAGTTTTTAAATTTCCATATCTGAGAATAGACGTAAATATTAATCAGACACGCCGACAAATAAAGCTGTTAGCAGTTAATGGGATAACAAGCTAGAATTCGTTGGGGTCACCAAAGATTTTGTGTTTGGGCGTGCCCCTTTGTCTGCTCTTTATGGTCAGCAATGACCATAAATTAAAGCCGTGAAAGAATCAATGGATGGATTGATTTATAACCCAAGCAGAACAGCCCCCAAGGTGGCTTGTCGTGGCCAACACACATTTGCGCATTTCGAAGAGCTTAGAACATCTAGCAACAACTTAGTCTAGGTCTGGTGTCTTAAGATATTAAAGTTAGTTGATGATTAGTACATGCTATGGATATGTTCAGCCTTCTTCTTGGACACTTGCATCCAAATCGATGTGGATGGTTGACATGATGATGGATAGGATCTTGTCTTAGAAACTTCAGAAGACAAGTTGGGGCTTCTTCAGTTTGCCATCCTCGGTGTGGGTGCGTATGTATTCCAAGGATCGCAGGATGTAATCCGGAGTTGGTGGTGGCTGAGGCAGATGCCGACCCACTACATGGAAGCCGAGTTCATCGGCTATATAGCGTGTCTCGATTGCAACGCCCTCGGGCGAGGTATAGCTATAGATTCCAATAGTTTCAAGGGGAGATCCGGCGGCCTGGACATCGATACCATTGCTGGTCTTGAAGGCATACTTGAATACACCCTCATCATCGGAAGGCGAGACCCGGAAGTCTGTTATCTGGGCATCCCGCTCATCACCGCCTACCAATCTCCGGATCCGGCGAACCCTCACCAGACGCGCATCCACTTCCACCCAAACGAGGGCCAGAAACACCAGGCCAATTAGCTGAAACCAAAAGAGGTCTTATCAGCAATCTAAGTTCACAGTTCAGATAGGGATCACATGTGGTATGGGCTCAAGGCCAAAATGCTTACAAAATATCGCATATTTCTCGGGTTTTTATCGCGTTTTATCTTTTTCGCACAGGCAATCGAAACAACACAAAAGGCACTCTGGGGATTTATGATTGATTTTGTAATATTTTTCCCGATTCAATGTAATCCGCTGCGGAATTTCGACGTCTGCGAGGTTCAAAGTTAGCCACCGTACTGCCAATCCGGCCAGCTGGTCTTTCCAACTTTATATATATGGTAAACAACGGGCCAAAACGCAAGCGCCGAAAATCTAATAAGCATAACCAAATGCCAATAATCGTTGGCATCGTCTTCTGTATCGCCTCTGAGATAAATGCGCTATGCCCCGAGTGTGTGCGGCTACCCTGCCCACCAATTCTAGCTCTCGATAGCGGGTCATATCGAATCGGCTATACTACTCGTATAGTATAATTCATTTCCGTTTATCATGTTTGCTTATTCATATTTTATGATTTCATACATCAGATGCTAATAAATGCGATACTAAAAAGTGCTAAGTAGCGCGAGTTCTTGAAGATCTGCTGCCAATTTTATGGGAAATTTATGATGGCAGAGTTTCCGATTTTGGTTTTATTATCATTTGGCAGCTATGAACTCGATGGATACTAGTTTTGATTTTGGGTTTATCGCAGCTCTCTTACGGCTTTGTCACAGTAAGGTGTCTTGATTTGCCTTAAATTAATCGCTCAACTAATTTTTATTAATACCAATGATTTCACTTGAAGTTTAGTCACTTGAAATTGGATATATGATCGCTTAGTTAAAGTGTATAAATTCTAGCACTTATCCGTCGATGATAGAACATACCACATGGGGTTTCCAAACACGGAAGCATTTTGGCGCCCAGCATAAACACATAAAAAAATATTAATTTAATTTTTAGAGCCTTTACTTGTTTGGATGCAAATTATGACCATAAAAATCACAACGAACGCGATAAAATCGTAGAAAATAGGCCATCAAATTATAAGAAGCCAGTAGTAGTATGGAATTTGGATTAACAGAAGTCTGTGTTGACTTGTTAATCTTGTTAAAAGAAACATAATAAACGGACATAGTTCCGTATACAGAACGTGACAGCTATAGCTTTACAGGTTCAATAGCAGACTGATTCTTGATTTTCATTTGAGTCGCGGCAAGTTCGTTGCCTCAGTCTTTTGTTTTTTACTCAATATCCGAGAGTGTAGCATAAATTATGTTAATTCATGAAGAACATTCAGCATAAACAGCCGTTGTTTATGCTTATATTTACATTTCCCTAAATTAAGGTTCTGAAAAGTGTCAGAAGCCGTTGGGATGACCTGCAGAGTCATAGTGGCAACTATCTAATAGTTCACACACGAAGAGATGACGATTTCTCGCAGAAGGAGAACTGGAAAAGGCAGTTAATTTGTAGTTTTTGATTCGAGTTTTCTAGTTTTTCGTGTTTGCTTGTTTCGCAATCGATTCTAAGGTTAAACTATTTGGCGTCGATTTGTGTTACTTAATTAATGTTGTCCGCCGAAAAAATATTTTTTTTTTCAACTCGTTTGACTTGAAGATTTATGTCTGAAAATTAGCCGAAGATTATTTTCGCTTCAAGCTTTCATCTTCGTCAGCTGCCCCTTTTGCTATGTAAATCCTCGTTGTTTCTTAATTAGCAAATAGTGTTTAAGGTAAACAAACATAATGCAAATATCATTAGGCAAAAGACACATGAATTCTGATTGATGGCCTGATTGATTCTTCGATACCAACACCTTGACGAGCGGTAAGTTGTAAGGCTTAGGCTATGCAAATCAACGGGGTGCGGGGCCAAATGAGACAAGTCGTGCAAGGTCTAGGTCTGCATAGCTCCATATTCCACACAGTGGGGCAAAGTTATCAGAAAAACTTTTAATAGATTTAAACTTTTTCGAGACGAGTAAGAATACTAAATCTCATTAAAGATCCCTACTTTGAGAGAACCAAACAACCTGTTTCGATCACTCGCTAAACAGAAGTTATTTAGCTTGGTTAAATAACTCATTCAAAGTAAAAAACAAAACCCGATTCAAGCATGATCAATGGTTTGTGCAGTAAAAACCTTTAGCATTTCCAATTTAGCCTTAAATCGCAAAACAGTTAATCGAATAATCAAAGTTGACGTATTGTATGCATATTTAGCACGCCTCATTAAATCAAATTAATATATTTGGAATTGGCTTTTTAGTTGAGTCTGAAATTCAACCATGACCTTTTACAACCGAAAATAGAATTTAATTATAATAAATTAATAACTAAATGGTACAATTTGTCAGAGACGGGATGTCCGTAAGGTGGACATGTGAATCACAGTCGAACCACTGTGCATAACTTTCGATTTCATATTGGTTTGCTATGCAGGCACACCTACAAAAATAGACCCCGAAAAATCCAAAACAACTTCATTGTCAGGCGATAATGGCTCGGGCATTAGCACAAAATCAATATAAATCAATTCCAGATCTTCGAACTTGTATTTTTGTTTTTGTTGGATGATGATAATGCGTCTGCTTTTTGGACTGCACTGTTTCCCGGGCTATGCTGTTTAGCTTCCTTGTCTGCCGATTCTGAGAACAGTTCCCAGAGAGCTCGCTGATTAGCTGAAGCTTCCCTCTATAGAAATCGAAAGCTTCCTTTTCGGCCTCGTCAAATGTTTTTTGGCCAGTTTAAATTGAACTTTCGATCGCAGCAGATCGCGTCGCATCAAACTGCTGCTGCTGCTTTATAACGGTTAAAACTCGGATACTGACTTTGATTCAGGTTCAGTATCAGCATCACAGTATCAAGTCTGGTTTAAGAGCCACACCGTAAAAAACAAAGACTTGGATTCATTTTAATTAGGCGACAATGTCGTTTGGCAAGGTTTGTGCGATGTTTTGTGATTGGCATTTGCTCCATTAAAACTACCCCCCCAAACCCCACCCGATCAGATTGTGGTGTTACTGGCAATTATCCACCTAAACTATTGCATGGGAGATACTAGCTCATCTTTGGCTAGGACCATCTACTACCGGAATAACCCTCCCGATCCGTTTGGCCACTACAACTTCGAGTTCCAGACCACCAATGGCATTACCACCAAAGGAGCTGGGAATGAAAATGGTGCCGTCGGAGTGGTTCAGTTTGTATCCCTTGAAGGTATCCCAGTGACCTTTTCGTACGTAGCAGATGCTAATGGTTATCAGCCTACTGGAGATATGATTCCTGCTGTTCCGCTGCACGTTATCCGCCAGTTGGAATACATTCGGACGCATCCTCCTGTGGATGAACGTCGGTCGAGACGTTGGTAAAATCTCACCGATATCAAAAATAATAATATATTAACGCTTAAATAGCTGTCGATTGACTGGCCGACGAGCATCGTTACAGTTGGGGAATATTTTAATTTCGTATTTATGTTTATTGTTTTTTCATGCAAATGGAATATACGAAAGAACAACAACGCCAGCAACAAAATCATGCCAAAATATATAGCAAGCCAATAAATATTCTAGAAATATATATATAAAGTACTAGACTTAATTGATCTGCATTCTGGAAGTCCGGAAAGTTTATCCATACCAAGGCAGGAAGTTTTTTTTTCAATAAATAATAATTAAAATTCGTAAAACCTTTTGCAATTGCGAAACTGGAAAAAAAATTATATGCGTTAACGTTTAGCAAAGGTAATTATGGTGATATTCCATTTAACTTCTTGCTGACTAAATACAGTGAATGGAAATGGTAAGCAAAATAAAATAATAGAAAAACTGTTAATTTTTCCATCCTGAAATTTTCTGTGCAAAAACCGGTAACAATTCTTGTGAAATATGTTAAGAATGCTCTTTAAAAATTTCACAGATTTATGATCTGCAGAACTAGTTGAAATCATGTTTAAGCTATGCTAATGATTCGCGGCAAAAAATTAGTTTTAATCAGTTCATTTTTGGTCTAGCTTCTTTAATATAAAAGATTTTTTAATTTTATGCTTTTTCTCCAGATGCATAAACCGGCAACTATTATTATAAAATATGTTAAGAATGCTCTTTTTAAAACTCATAGATTTATGGACGTCTAGTTCTCTATGCTAATGACTCCAGAATTAACCGCACTAAAATGTCAGCTTTCATCAGTTCACTATTGCTCTGGGTTTTTGGCTATGGAAAATGTCATACCATACCCATCCGATCTACGACCTTGTCTTTAAGAACGACTTTCGCTTTTGCGGCAATCAGCGAGAAGATTGCGCCTGTCGCTGCTCATTTGCATGTGGGCGCCTAATTAAGGCCGTTGCATAATATTGACCGAGTCTATAAGACCGACTTAATGTAACCAGACTAATAAACCAAACTGAGTTGACACCGTTTAATGTCCAGCCGAAACAAGTTACTGATTGATGCTTCTCTCTAGCCTCTTACTAATCCCCAATTCGGTTCCGGCCTTGGGGGCACCGAAATATCGTTAAGAGATTACCGTGGGCAACGCATCTCCAAGAGTTCAACTTGTAAATGCTGAATGAATGCCTCCACTGCATCTAGACCAGCAGTTATTTTATTTAAGTAGAATTTGGCATACAAAAAACATAATTATGAATTATTCATAGCGGGTTCGTTTATCAGATCTTCCTCTCAACAGATCCATTAAGACGCAAAATATGCAGTAGACAAATGACAAACATGCCCCAGGCGAAGACGGGCAATTTGTACACGTCCTATTTTTAGATCCAAAACTATCAAACAAACATTAGTTCGTACTATCTGTTCATGTTCGCCGACCGATCGATCTCATACCTTAACCACGTGCCAATCCGGTTGCAATATTTCGGTTGCTGTTTTTGCTTTCAGAATCACAACAGTCGCTGATTTATGGATCGGAACGGGGCATTCATAAGGCTTTAATGACAGTCTAAACTGCTTTAATGCCACCGCTGGGAGTTTAGCATCGAACTTAGTATTAAATCTTATTAATCAACTAACTGAAAATTTAAATATACATCAAATAGTCATCTCGGGTGTTGGGCAATTAAGAACGCGTTGAAAGTTTAGGTATTAAAATATGAATTTTTTTCTTAAAAGTTTTTATCATTCATAACAGACTAATCTATTTTTAAAGGTCAACGAACCTATTGACTTGAGAAATGAATGTATGAATCGATGTGGACAATGTGTAAACGCTGGGGTTACTGCCTGACTTATGAGCCATCTATATTCATTGAAACAAAGTTGCCATCAGCGTGTTTAATTATCTTATCTGAATTGATTTACATGCATACCAAATTCCAAAGATCTCGCACACAAGGTAAGAAGAAACATACGAATACGATGTTCGTTACTTTACAATAATATATTTCAAGTTGCTTGACATATATACTCGTATATGTAGATTTCTGGGCGTGTTTTGTGGCGTGTATCTGTTGTTTCTGTGTGGCTTGGAACTGGGGGGGTTAAACAGAGTGGGTAATATTACAATTTTATCGATTACTGATCCTCCAGTATTATCCATTTTGTCTTTAAATCGATTTTATTTAGTGTTAATGTTGTGTTTGCGTGTAAATACATATTTTTAAACATAATCCAAGTATTTCACATAAACTCTATGTTTATACAATTTTTGTTGTCGCTTTCATCTTGCTATACTATTACTAAACCTAGACATGATTTTAATTGGCAGCCAGAGCGATCTGGATTGAGATCCCTTGCAGCCGAGTGCGAAACGGACCGAATGAACAATTTGATTGATTAAATTACTTTTGACTTTTGGTTCGTGAATAAGAAATCCATTGTTTAGTTTACTGGAGTGTAAAATACATATACTAAATGTAATTATATATTGAATAGGTTCATGTGTGTGTGTTTGTTTATCTCTGTCTGTCTTCGTGTTCAGTTGTTTGTCAAGTTAGGTTTCGGTTTTGGGTGTGTCCCGTGTATTGGTTGCAATTCGGGGTGTGCAAAAGTCCTCCAGAGATCTTGAGCACGCCCACAACTAAAACCTGTAGAAGATATTTAAGTTTTAATAGCGCTCATTAGCTTGGTGTCATCCTAACTTACCAGTCCTCTTCGCATGCCAGTATGGTATAATGGTCACTTCCCCGCCCCTAGGGCCAATCCTAGTCGGCCTTCGTCTCCGTAAACTCCTCCAGGGCAAAGAAACTGCCACCGGAGGCACCACCACTGCTACTTGCCGTGCTGGTGGCCACAACGGTGGTAGATGCCGTGGCACTGGATGCCTCTGATACTTGCACTTCTTCACCGGCCGAAGCGGCAGATACCTCCTTTTCATCGGCACTGCCGGAGGCACTGGCAGCCGCCTGCTGAGCAGCCTCCAAGACTTGCTGTTGAACCTGGACGATGGGCTGGCCATCTTCTGTGTACGAGACGGACACTGGGATACGTGTGCCATCCTCGCTTATGACATGAGCTCCCTCTTCGCCATCCTGTCCTTGCTGGATAATCAATTGCCCCTCGGAGTTCAGAAGGGAGGCATCGATCAGCTGCTGCTCATTGTTGTCACCATGGACAAGCACCATCTGACCACTGCCATCGGTCATCATCTGAAGGGTTTCGCCCTCGAGACCTTCGCCCGACTGCAAGACTCCAACGCTTTGCAGCAGCTGCTGGATCTGCTCGGGATCTTGTACAATTATCTGATTGCCTTCGGCGTCGGTTAGGATGTGATTGTCCAGCTGGAGGAGATGACCGTTTTCGTTTACAATAAACTTGATCTGGCCACCATCAACCTGTGCCTGCATGGCTTCGTCCAATTCCATGGCCACATGCTCACCACCGGCACCCTCTCCAGCCTCAGCCTCGGCTCCAGTACCGGCAGTCACCTCTCCTTCACCAGATTCTACGCCTTCGGCGGCTGCTGCAACGGCTTCCGATTCGGTTGTTGGAGTATCAGTAGCATCACGCTTTGAAGCGGCCTCTGCTTCGTCTGATGGCTGTGGTTCCTCTACAGCAACAACCTCCTTCGCCTTGGTACTCTCCCCGGTCTTGGCCTTGGATTTATCTTGGCCTGCTTTGCTGGTTCCCTTGGTTTCCTCTGCGGCCTCAGCTTCGGCAGCTGCAGCCTCATTGTCATCATCTAAACTGGGCATGGACACAGGGGCGGCATTGGATTTGCTATCAGCGGAGGAGGCCTCGCCGCTTTCTCCCTTGGGGTCGATACTACCCTGAGACTGGGATTCGTCTTCGGCTTGATCCAGATTTGGCATGTCCATGCTAACGGAAACTGGTGCTGTGGCATTGGGTGAATCCTTTTGCGATTGGTCACCGTCCGGTTGCGGAATCGTAATGTTAAAGGTTATTCCACCGCTGCCCTCCTGCGAGGTTATGACCATACCGCCTTTGCTGCCCGGCTTAGGCGCCTCGCCACTCTCGTTCTTTTCGGAGTGGAGTTTCTCAAACAGGCTCTCAATATCGGCCTCCGCATTTTGCTCACTGCCCTCGTCTCCAGGTTTTCCAGATGCATCTCCAGGTTCGTCACTCAATAAAGCAGTGGCTGCCGAATTTAAGGCTGTGGCTCCGGCCGAAGCTCCCTTTTTGTCACGCCTGTGGGTCTCCATGTGGTGGTTGTAGTACGTCTCCTGGATGAAGGTCAATGAGCAAATGCTACACGAAAAGAAGCGAATGTTGTTTTCCGCTTCAGTAGTGGCCACCACAGTAGCTGCAGCAGCTTGAGCAGGCACGCTGTCGCTAAGCGCCTCATCAATTGTCTCCTGGAGAAGCTTCTGGGTATTTAGATTCTGATTGACCGGCTGCTTGGGTGATACCGCCGCTGTGGTCGGATTTTGATGCACTTCGAAGTGCTTGACAAGCAACTCTCGCTTAGAGAAGGTCATCGAGCACGTCCCGCATTTGAAGAAGTTAGTCTGATGCTGTTTGGCATGCACGGTGGCAGCTTCACGAGTCTCGAAACGCTGCGAGCACAGACGGCACTTGAAAGGCTTAGGTTTGCCAGCGGAATGCTTGCGCATATGCTCATCGAAGACGCCCTTATCCGTGGACTTAAACTGACAATGGTTGCATGTGTAAAGCGAGGCTCCAACGGTAAGATTCTCATTGGCGGCGGCAGCAGCAGCGGCCGCAGCGGCAGCCACCGGAGCAGCAGCTGCCGGTATAGTGGTGGTACTGGTCACCAGTACATTAGTGGCGTGATTCGTCTCCATGTGCTTCCGCAGACTGGTCTCATTGACAAAGTTAATGTGACACATGGCACAAGTATTGTCCATGGCTGTGTTATGGTCGCGCACCATGTGCTGCTTCATGGCCCCGAAGTGCGGGAAGATCTTTCGACAGGTCTTGCACTGGAAGGTCTGCTGCTTGCAGGTCTCGAAATGCGTATTGAACAGCCGCATGTCCGAGGTCTTGTAGTCGCACGATGTGCACTTATAGATCTTGGTGGCCTTGCGTTGGACTGTCTGAGTGCCTTGAACGGTGCTCTGAGTGGTTCCTTGGGCGAGTTTTTGCTGACCCACTGGCAAATAGGAAAAGTATGAATAAAATACGTTCGGAAATGACTGCAACAAAGTACTCACCTGGGTTTCCCTGTAAAACCTTCCGTGGACGCAGTAAATCGCCACTAGAACTCTCCTCAAGCGAACGATTTGCACCAGTAACCATTTTTTGCATCTTAAGCGGAGGACTGCCGTCAAGGCCAGCGTCCTCATTAATTGCATACTTCTTATTCAGCAGACTGATGAGGTTCGTCTTGACGCGCTCCACATCGTTCTCCAGGCGGTCATAGTAATTCACCAGGTTGGTACACCGTGAACACACGTAATCATCACCGCAGACGATAACAAGGAAACCCTCGCCCACAAGTTGGGCCAGTTTGTTGGGAAACTTAGTGGACGTGTGGGTTGTGCTCATGTCGGTTAAGGAAGTCTGCGGCTCGCAGCGGTCATCGCAGATGTAGCATCTCGTGGCCAAACCGCCAACACCTAGGCTACCCGCATCCGCATCGCTGACCGCCTGCTGTTGGACAATGCCGCCGGATGAGGCCCCGGTAACTCCAGCGGAGGAACCTCCACCGGGTACCACTAACCGCGTCGTCTTGAGGATTCGCGGCTGGCTTGGACCGGTCACAGTGACCGCTCCGCTGCTGAGCAGATTGTTAAACTTGCGGTAGGTGGCCGGGTTTAGTTGGTTGTTCATTTCGAAGCGTTTCGGATTCGGATAAGCACGCCGTAGTGATGGTGTTCTTCGGTTTTTGCGGGCGCAACACGCGCAACTGCAAGCCGCTTCGTTTCAATATTAATCGGCTTGATTACGGCAAATTGCACTTTTGCACTCCGGTTAGAGCACTTTTAATTGCTAATATTGTATTGGGATCGGCCGCACAGAGAACAATCTCTTTATTATTTAAACGCCAGGAACAACAATCTTTCTCCGCTTTTAATTTTCGATTTTGTTCTGGGTTGTCGCGGCGTCACTTTGACTGTACTAAACACTCGGTGCTGTATTTTTTAGGGTTAAAAATGCGTATGTTGCTACAGCAGTTCTTGTTCGTTCTATATGGTTGTCTCGCTCTTTAGCATGCTCGCTGCCCTGGAACGGCGGGAAAATGCAGACTAGTCGTCTCGTTCGCACGCCACGGAAATGGCGGCAACCAAGGAGGTCTAGCACGATCAAACGAAGAAAAGTACGGCAGCGTTGCCGTTTAGCATGATGGTAAAAATAATTATATCAGAAAATAAATTGATTAATTTAAATATAAAATCATTTAAATGCTTTAATAACAAATATACATTTTTTCCTTCACATTAGTATTAAAAATTTAACATTTACCTTGTTATAGCCAAAATAAACAATGACGTGTCTTTTTCGTCATGCAACTTCAAGCATTTTTAGTTCTTCTGCCAGGCACAAGATGGCGTAGTTGCCCGCGCATTTTGAATTTTTGAAAACCCTTATCAGTAAATAATTTAAATGCTTAGGGCATGAGGTAATCATTAAATAGTAGCATTTACGCAACGATAAAGGCCGACATCACTAATGTGTTAATACAGAAGGCCGATAAGATTCTGGCCCTCCAAATTTAGCCATTCGATTGGTTTCTCTCTCACAATTTCAGCAAAATAAAGGGGTGAAAAAGGGGGAAATGCCTTATCAGGCAGCGATAATATAATATTTACCATCGCAAAAGCGATAAATGTTTCGGACCAAAACGCACAGTTCAGTTAGCGAACGAAACGAAAAGCGAGTGGATATCGGCTCGGAATCGAAGGGGAAATTATAAATACAAAAATAAAAGCACCTGTCCAATCGACTTTTTTATTTTTAAAGAGCCATTATCGTTGGGTTATCTGTAAAATAAACGACTTGCAAAACGCGAAGCGAAACTTATTGTCCGGCGTGATCGTTCAGTTGGCCAACGGACGTCGCGTACTGCAAAAGCGCACTCAACCAGAACATAAGATCGATTTAAATCGCGCATCCGGGGGCGTGAGAATTAATAGTTATAGTGCTGTTCCACTAAAAGTCACTGCAATATGTATCCACCGGCGGCAACGAAAATCAAGCACTTTGGCTCTCTCAGAACGGCCGTAGTTTGGGCCGGAATACTCGGAGTGGTAAGTCAACAGTTGGAAGTCACTGTCACAGTCACTGCCAATCGACCGCGACCTCATTGATAAGAGATATTGGGAGATATTGTAGCTGACATCGTAGGCACTTACTCCAATTGGCTGTCCTCTCTGCTCCAATGGAACGTCCAGTATCTGGTCCACCTGATCGTCTGCTAATCGTGACATAACCACCATTGACTGACTCATTTGGGACGATTCCCAAACTGAATGGGGGAACAGATAACCAATCCGATTGACGTGTGTAAACAAGAGAAGGAACAAAAGATCTAGATAGGGATTTTTATTATTGGCAGAGAATAATCAAAAAATGTTTGCATTAAAAATTTCTTTGTGTATGAATAATTTAAGGCCTCTAGAAGATAATTAACAAAGGTAAATAATTTCGAAATTCAGTACAAGAATTTGTACTTATCTTGACTTTAAAGGATTTCCAAATATCTTTAATGACTTTTTATGTTTTATTGATTTGTGTAAATGGTATAGAAATGTATGTGTTAAATAAAATTTTAAGATTAATCCAAGTTGTATTCCCTTTCAGGCTCAATCTATTATCTGGATGGGACTGACCATTACAGCCATTTGTGCCTTCAACTGTGTGCTGTACATCACAAATTATCTTACTTTTGGCACCTTGGTCAAGACAGTATTCTTCGACCTGTACTTCAAGGGTGGCTGTAGGATGAGTCCCAACGATTACCAGAACTACGACCAAACTATTTTGAATACGGTGAACACTGTGTTCGATCCCAGTCAGATACTGATCTGGGATTCTGTGTATTTGGGAGTTTCCGTCTGCTGGCTCATCGTCTCCATTGTGCTGCTACTGTGTGAGTATCCAAAGAACCGGAAACGTATCATATTGCAAATATGAGTAAATCGTTTAGATATCGCCAATTTTATGATTCATTTGGAGAAATCTTGAATTTTTTATCAAGCAGGTAAGCTTGTTGATAAATTTGAAAGACCCTTGCCAGCCATAAAGACCAAATAAACAAAAGTTAATGATAAGTTTGCTTGATACTTATATGATGGGTTGTATAAGGTATTCATTGATGGTTGTTCCCCTTACTATTACTTTCTACAAATTCACATGACATGGAATTAACGGAAAGAAATTCTAAAGTTTTTTTGATTTGCAAATTTTTTTTTTCATTATTAACTCTAACATTTTTTTGAAAACTTAAGAAAAAGTACAGACAGAGCAATAGATGGTAAATTAGCCAGTAGGTCCATGACTCAGTCTTCGTTCTATTCTATACTATAACTTAAAACCACATTGCCTTATCTAATGCTTGATAACTTAGAATAAATATTTTCACAATGTAAAATGTAGATAATTTATTATATTTTAATGTTGCTGATACTCACACTGATAACATTAAATCATTAAAGAAACATAATTTATCAATCTTAAAAATATGTCTAAAATTAGTAGAGTTTCTTAAATTATATTATTTAGTGACTTAATTATAAGATTGATTGATGCATTGCCAATAAGAAACCACACTTAAGTATCACATGTTTAGTGTCATTTTATTTTCGTGACAGCCATTTAACCCACCAGTGATGGATTATACTTTGATTAAGACAGAATTTCATTTTCTAACTTTTAGCGGTGCGCAAGGACAACCCAAAGCAGACTCTGGTCGCCATATATACTTGGGCATTCTTTGTGGCCGCCATCTGCTGCATGGATGTGGCTTCCGGAGTGATCTTTGGTGTCGACTATGGACGTTTCAATGATGCTGCTCTGAAGTACAACGCCAATAGCATTAATGCCGGTGAAGTTGATCCTATGGCTGCCACTTTAGTTGCCGGTGGAGTTGCCGCCATTGCCATGATGATCATATCCTTCAAAGGCTTCGTTCTGTGGTTCATCAACTTTGGACTGCTCGTATACCTTCTGATGAGAGCCACTCGCATTGCCAACGATAAGGATAGTGCGGTAAGTAATGGTCGGGGTCAGCGGGTGAGCTCATCACCCACTTATGCTAGCAGGCTTTGTCTTCTGCGATTTCATAAATTGCCGCCACTGTCTATGAAAATGGAAGAATCGAAGAACGAATGAAAAAAACAAATCGGTGGGCAAAAATTCCGACTACGACATGGCTAAACTTAGCACTTTGTGGCCATAAACTCAATGTGGTGGTGGTACCTACTGATAACTGGTGGTTGGTAATTGGCCTCAGGTTTGTCTGATAGCGGGTTCTTGCGTTTTTGGTTTTCATTCGCTGAACACCGTGGAAAATGATTACTAAGTGGGCTTTGGGTACTTGAGTTCTTTCTAATTAGAGTTCAGTTGAACTGCAAGGTACTCATATATCAGTAATAATATAAAAAATTTTCGTTTTCCACAGGATACTTTGTTCAATCCTCGCAAGGATTCCAATGATATTCTGACCACCAGGCCGCCCATTCGCGCCTACGAGGAGGAAAAGTGAGTAAAAACGATTTAAGCTTAAAAAATCAGATAAAAATATTTCCGCATATCCATCAGGGTCGAGATCCAGGCATATAACAATGCGGCCTACGTTCCGGATAACCGCTCTTTGGCGGAGACCATTGAGGTGAACGAGGGCGCCATTGTCCGGGCGGCTCACATGTCGATGGATGCCAATCTGATGGATCGTCGATTCCGTGACATCAATGCCTTCCAACAGTATCCGGCTCCCAACCCGCAGCCCAGTCGACCTGTGCGCCAATCATCGCAGGTGCCTCTACAGGAGACCATTGTGGTGGCCACAGCGGGATTCCCACAGCCAGACTATTCCCCGCAGCTTAGTCCCAATGGCATTCTTCGTCCGCACCAGTACTAGATACTAAGTACTAAGCCTATTGGCGCCCCTCCGAAAAGCCCTCTTTCATATTATAATTCTCAAATAATCCCCCAAGTGACAGCTAAAGTTTAGTTCAAATTTTAATCAACGGTAGAAATTGTTTCTGCATGGTTATTCTTATTTATTTGCATGTTAACAACAAAATAAGTCTACTGTTATAAATATATAAAACCAGTAAAGTTATTTGCACCGCCAGTGGTATTTGTTTATATGGTAATTTGATTATTTCATTGAATTGATAAGAAATGGTCACTGATTAAGAGGGAAAACAGCCCCCAGCAACGATTTCATCGAAAGAGATAAGAAACTCAAGATGAGCATCGAAAATTATTTTTAAACTGAGCTCTTTTTACTCTACCCTATTTATAAGGGAAAGATAAAAATATCTTTAAAAAAAAGATATAAAGAGATAAATTGCTTACAAGGTGTAAATCTTTTCAATAGTGATGAAGATTTTAATTATTTAAACAACCCGCCAAATGTAGGGTAAAGCGATACCGATAAGAACTTATCGTTATCGACAACCAGGCGTTAAGACATTTTAAGGCCCTCTTTTTCGCCGCTCGGGTCAACAGAAGTTCACAACATATTGATAATATTGAATATTTTTGATAAGCTAGGCCAATATACGATTTTCATCTCGAGAGCCGGGCATTAAACGTAGCGTGTGTGTTTTGAATCCGGTCATTTGTCACCGAAACACCCCCGGGAACAGTTGGAAACTTCACTTCGCCGGCAGCTGCCTTTGTTTTTGACTGGGAAAATATGGTTTTCATAACGAAATTCGCTAGGATTGGGCTGCAGGCCGCCCGTCAGATGAGTGCCACTCCCTTAGCTACTGTCCAGGGGCGCGCCTTCCACCTGACAAGCCTCCTCGCCAAAGGTAATCCATTGTTTATGCAATACCCAATGAATCTAAAACTGTAATCTCCTCCAGAACGTCGTTACACAAACAAACACGAGTGGGTAGAGCTGGTATCTGGAAACAACGCTATCGTAGGCATCTCCAGTTACGCCCAGGAGGCTCTCGGGGATGTGGTCTTTGCCCAACTGCCGGAACCGGGTACGGAACTGAAGCAGGATGATGAATGTGGCGCCCTGGAAAGTGTAAAGGCAGCCAGTGAGGTGTATTCGCCAGTTAGTGGCAAGGTGACGGAAAAGAATGGCCAGGTGGAAGACACACCAGCCTTGGTTAACACAAGTTGTTATGAAAAGGGTAATTTCTGCGTCATAAAATACTTTCCACATCATAATAATTACATATTTCCCCCTTTCAGGCTGGCTCTTCAAAGTGGACCTTAAGAACCCCCAGGAACTTGATGGCCTTATGACCGAGGAGCAGTACAAAACCTTTGTGAGCAGCAGTGGCGATCACTAGAATCAAACAACTTCAATGTAGCCTTAAATACAAAACGATCTAGCATTTGTTATCAGCTTGAAAACACTTTACCCATACCCAAAAATCACCAACCAAACTCATCGCCATACACACGTTGTTGTAGCACTTGAAATTTGTTACGAATAAGAATCAACAGTAAAGCCAAATATTATATTTAAATTGGGCATCTTGACCTGCGGGTGGCAGACGTTGTCTGCTCCCCCATGGAAACCTTCTTACCGATAAGACAAAAACACTAAAGAGAAAACGTGCTGAGAGCTAGCCAGTCAACGATAAGAACTCAATGTAGAATTTATTAAGAGAGTCACCGAATCGAGAAACCACTCAATTTCGTAATAATACGGATCAGCTTGGAACGGCGTGCTTGGGCGGATTTAAAAACAACATTTAACACTGTTGCCGGGACAGGCAATGGCGCACGCCACCGCATCCAGCCATCACCTGATTGATGATGGACCGACCGATGACACACCTACCTCTCTGGAAAGTTACGCCGTGCTTGGCCGATAAGGATGTATCAAGTCGCGCCTTGAAATTATTCCCGATCAAGACGATAAGCCCTCTAAGAAGCGCCGCCCATGTACCATTGAACTTGACGAGCGTGTTCGTTAAAGCTTTTCCATCCAAAAAAGCTACGTCAACAGAGGCGAAAAGCTTGGCGGTAGCTCACCGAATGTTTAATGCTCAAAGAGAACTCATTCCGTGCGGTGCGAGAAGCGCGTGCTGCTCGAAAAACAAGCCCGAAAATAAATACAATACAATCGCACACAACACAAACTAAGGATAATTGCAAAACAGGAACATAATTCAAGGAAATATATAGTTACACGAAAAAAACCACAAATCAAAAACAAAATGCCAGCGGAAAAATCAATATACGATCCAAATCCGGCCATCAGCCAAAATGCCTACATATCCAGCATGGAGGAGTACCAGAAGTTCTACCAGGAGTCACTGGACAATCCAGCCGAATTTTGGTCCCGTGTGGCCAAGCAGTTCCATTGGGAAACACCCGCCGATCCGGAGAAGTTCCTCAAGTACAACTTCAACATCTCCAAGGGACCCATTTCGATTAAATGGATGGAGGGTGCCTCCACCAATCTGTGCTACAATCTCCTGGATCGCAATGTTAGGAATGGTCTGGGCGACCAAATAGCCTATTACTGGTGAGTCTAACTGCTAATCCTCGCCCACTTGCCCACTGGGTGGCGTAGGTCGTATGAAAACAAAAGTTTTTGGGGTGGCAGTGCAGGATTATTGATTTTTCGTGTGGTTACGAAACTCTCGCCTCGTGACGTCGGAAGGTGGGCTCCTCTTTGACAGGATTTACTGCGCAGGCACCGCATTCGAAACAGATGATAGCACTCCTTTTATATATTTTTAATATATATGTACAAGGATGCCACTCAAGGGCACATCTTACCTTTCGCCAATCGATTTTGGTCAGTTCTTTATCACTTAGTTTGTTTTTTTCCGTCTAGTTAATTGAAGCGATTTTCTTTGTTTTGATTGGGCACAATTGCTTTAATCGTCTGCATGCTAAATGTGACAGTGGGTCGGTTTAATAACACCAAATGAATTCAATTTTGGGTGCTTTTTTGGATTTCAAACCACTGCTTTCGCTAAAGACTCTGGGTCAATGTCAGGGCCAGTTCCTCGAGACGACCCTCATAATATGGTGACCCGGCCAAGTTTACGTTTGGTATTTCTCTGTTTATTTATTCAGTTTATATCGATTAACAATTAAACCGGTTAGGGTAAGTTTAGTTTGGTTAAAACATAAATATTTTGGTTTTTATTTAGTTTTTTTTTTAATCCATTCAATCATTTTTTATAGTTTGTTTTGAGTAACTAAATTCTAAAAGCATGTGTCATAAATTCTTATCAATTTTAAAAGTGATAATTTGTTTAATTCTAAGCTACATTATGGCAAAGTTTGTTTGTTTACCTTTCTTCAAAATTTTCTTTGTTCTTTAATATGTAAGAAATTAGTTCAGCTGAAGGTTATTATCCCTTGTTTTAACCGCACTATATAAAAGTGATTATTTGAATATTAAAAATGCCAAGTAATTCAACTTAAATTAAGTTGCATGTGCATTTTTTTACAGCTTTTTTGTTTGTTTCGTGTTTTGTAAAGTAAACTTGAGATATTTGTTTCTAAAGTTCAATATCCTCTTATCTAAAGTGTGTTCCTAAATCATCTCTACCATATTTGCCTGTTTTTCAAAAAGAAATTCCCCACTGACGAGGCCCTTGTTCGTACCTAAAAGTTAACAATCAAAGCAAATATTAAATAATAGGTTCTTCCCATTATAAATCTACAAAGTCTGTTGATTATGATTAAATAACAGACACTCCCTTTCGCTGATTGTAAGCTAGTAGCTAGAACCCAGTACTATATATTACCTTATGAGTGTATCTGAAGTGGCCACTCAGAACGCAATTAAATTGAATGGCCTGGATGAAATAAGTATTTTGTTTTGGTTATTGCGCGAGAGAAGATTTGTATTATTATTTTGAGACACAAAGTTCACCAAGCAATGCGTCAGGGCGAAAAATAAAGCACAATGTTAAACAAATGTTAATGCTAATAAGATTATCTCGGGGTTATCACTTAGAAAGACGTTTTGAAGGGGGCGGGGCACGTGTGCCGGAGGAAATGCAAATGAAAGTCAGGTAATTGAAAGGCAATAACAAGGTCATCCGAAGTTGGTTCCCATTCACTCTGAATGTTACGAGGGGCCCATCACAACTATTCTCGGCTATTTTCCCATTTTTTTGTGGGAATTATTTAATCCCAGCGCACAATCTGTCCTCACTTTCCTTAGATAAGATAAAATGTGGGACACAGACCAAAAAAGATAGAAAAAAAAACCGTGCACGTAATGAGTAATAATTAACGCTTTCGAACGCCCGTTTCAGATAATTTTATTGCCCAAACCAAAGCAAAACAAAATCTTAAAAAGTTATATGTCCCAGTTTTATAGCATAGATAGGGGTTGTGAAACGGCAAAGGTGTAGAATTTGATTTTCGATCTGCGAGTACGTCGATTTGAGTACCAAAAATCGTTTATGGAATTTTACAATATTTTGCACCTTGGTTCCAAAATAACCGTTTCGAACCCAACCGATTTACGCAAACCGTTTTCAATTTCGAGACTCGTTAGCAACTAAATTAAATCGAATTAAACACACGAAAGTCCGAGCGAAAGCCGAACAATATTATGTAAGCGATTTGACAATGCGCGCAAATTGTTTATTCAAATTGATGGAAGCGCGTCTTTGCGTTAAACAGTTTGTTTTTTTGTCTCTTTTTTTTTCTGTTGGTTTCTGTGTTAGCGTGGCGGCGTCTGGGCAAAAGGTGGAAGAAAAAGTAGAATAGGTGAAAAAAGGGAAATCAAGTAAAAGTACCTGGAAATCATATTGCAATTGAAATTTTTTTTCCAGCAGTAACTGTTAGCAGTTTGGAATGCATTGGGCATCTAGAAAATCACGCGATCACATCGTCTGATTCACTCACAACCAATTAGAGAGCTCCGCTCACGCACCCGCAGAGAAACAAGAACGGTGACGGAGAGAGAAAGAGAAATAACATAAAAGAATGGACTGTCTGTCTTACATGCGACAGAAGATAGAGCGGCAAAAAAAAACCAACATATAATAATGCTGCCCAGGCATTTTTTACTTTTCTTGCTCCTCTTATCAGTTCTAGCACATAAACAGGTTGCCCGGCCCTTCCCTGAAAATTACGTTAAAAGCTGAGTTCACTCAAATCAAAAATTCATAAAACCGTTAAAAATAAACGAATGATCATTAGATAAACATGTATGTATGTATGTAGTATGTAGATCTGTGTATCGTACGATAATGACTCTCAAACTGTAGGGCTCGGGGTAGACTCAGAGACGCGAAAGAAGTGAGAGAGCACTGTAAAAAACTGTATATGTTAAATAATGTATACATTTTTGGATTGTATGAAATTTGTTATATAATTTACGATAAAAAAATTGCATTCAATGTGTTGTCTACAAAATTCCTCTCAGAATTGTTTTGGAAATTTTATGTTAGAAAAATTTCTCCCTATTTTTTTAAAATAAATATTCCATATTAAAGGTCAGTTGACCTTACCAACTTTTTCCTTTTTGTAAAAGATAATCCTTCACCTTTTATAAAAAAATGTGTATTTTTCCAACAATCGTTTTTTGCCAGTGCAGGGTGGAAACCAAAAACATTCGATGCGATTTATTCGACACGCGAGTCAACAGCTGATGTTATTGTTATTAAGATAAGTCGCCAGTGCTTATTGTTTTTGCCTTAGTTTTTATACCATCCCTCATAATTTTATTTATTATTTTTTTTTGTTTGTTCACGCGTGTGGAGAGAGTATGCTGTTTTTAGCTTATTTTCTGATTTCTGATAAGCCGGAGACGGCCACGCGTCTTTCCGTGGTCAAGAGGTGAATCGTGAATGTTGAATGGTATACGTTGGGATGGTGGTGCATGAGGTGTTTCCAAGGCGGCATGGAAAATTTCTTGTCTGGCGATCCGGCGACGAGATTAGGAGGCGGCGAATGGCCCGATTACGTCTCTAAATTGGAAATTAATACACTCGACGGGACGCGTCGCGCCACATTTTTCCCACCAATTCCGATTAGTCATGCGGAGGAGGAGAAACCTCTAAGTGCTCAAAGCTTTGATAAGTGGAGAGGACGTCCGCAAAAATACAAATAATTGGCCTTGACTGTGAGTTGTCGCCGGCTGATTAGGATTTCGGCACAGTCTAGCATTCATTATACTTAAAAATAGTTTGAGAGGCTCTAATGGTTACTAATAACCAAAACTCACTAGGGTTTTCTTATGATAAAAGAGAAAATAACTTACACAGCTTAGTAACAGCTAAAAATGTTTGAATATTAAACATTAAACACTATTTCTGACAATACGCCTGGCAGTTTATAGAAAGTCTTATCCATCAAATCGAACTTCAAAGATAAAGATGAGTAACCCGTTTAGTGTGAATGTTACAAAATACACTGCGAATCACACTTAAGTACAGTTCAATGCGTATTTTATTTATTTTTACCATCTTACTAATTGACAAGTACAAGTACAAACAGGTATTTCGTTAAAGTGGAATAACATTTCAACGGATATAGCTTTTTAGCCCAGTCGAATCACCCGGAATCAGCCCAAAACAACCCCATACGGTAGTCGTCACCCCTTTTTACGGCGAACTTTGGACATTGCGGTCTACTCAGCGATACAAAAATAACCCCCAAAAAACGTCACGATGAGTGCTTTGTTCGGCCTTCTTCCTGCTTTTCTCTTTGGCAATATTATTTTTGCGGGTACTGAAATAAAAGCCACTTTATTGCCGGCTAATTCTAATTCTTATCGCAGTTGACGGTCAACTGACGATGATTTACACTCCACCCATTGTGCTATACTGATTGCATTGTCTACCCTTCTAGCCCACCTGTCGTTGGTTTTTTTTTTACTGTTGTTTGTAGTCATTTTAGTTTATTACGGTTTTTTCTGCGTTGCTAATCTGCCTTGACCTCTGAAAAATTGCCATGGAAAATTGCTTTCCCTATTACTTTTCTAAGTTTCGTGTTTATATCCGTTTTGGATGCTGAAATCATTCACGATTTAGCTCTGTCACGATTTTTGTTTATTCACTCAAAGCTTTCAAAGCTCTAACAAGTTTTACATATCATTTCGTGCTAAATTCTAAATTCATTCATTTAATAGCAACAATTAGGGACAGTGCCTCATGATTGTAAATAAATAAGGCAAAAATATGGATTTTTAAAGAATTTTTCAATTAATTTGGAATATGAAATTATAGGTATACCTTTTAACTTTATCTATTTCAATTCCGTTGTCCAATATTTTTCATATTACAATTTATTAGTTCTTGATTCACATATTATTCTTGCCCACTGTTGTCCACCAAAGACTTCAGCTGTTGTATATAAAATTGTGGCGGTTATTGGCATTGGCTTCTGTTGCCAAGTTCAGAACAAAAAGGGAAAGGCATATTAAGTACATATAGGTGAACAATGCTAAGATATAGTATATAGTAAGAACAACAATGGTTAAAATAATAGCAACGATTTGCAAATTATATACATAAATTAGTTTATATCTTGATATGCTGATCTTAAATTACAATTTTAAAAATAAAAGCTATTTACTAATTAAAAGAATTGCTATTACTTTTACCTCAATTATACGAGATAACTTTGAAATTAGGTGACCATTTGAATGCGGAGAATCGAATTAAGTCTCCTCGGGCAATTAGGAAGCCTCGCATTACAGTAAGTGATCCAATTGCGATCGGGGTAATTAGCCCAATTGTGGGACACCCGGTACTTGGCCACACATTTAAGAACGCCACCGGCGCGTGCTCGGTGTAAATACTATAGAAATAATACTAAGTAAATAATGCAATGTGTTTCCTCATGGTCATTTTCTGTTGTTTTTGTTGTCATTGTTTCAGGGAGGGCAACCACCCCGACGACTATTCCCGGGGTCTCACCTATCGCAAGTTACTGGAGGAGGTGTGCCGCTTTGCCAATGTGCTGAAAGATCATGGAATCCGAAAGGGTGACCGTGTCTCCATCTATATGCCAATGATCCTGGAGCTGCCCATCGCGATGTTGGCCTGCGCCCGTATTGGAGCCGTGCACTCGATCGTTTTCGCCGGATTCTCACCAGATTCATTGGCGGAGCGAATGTTCGACTGCAAGGCCAAGCTGTTGATTACGGCTGACGGAGCCTGGCGTGGAGAGAAACCTCTGTACCTGAAGGCTCTGTGCGACACGGCTCTGGAGAAGGTCGAAGAGATGGGACACTCCGTGGAGAAGTGCATCGTGGTGTCGCATTTGAAGCGCGTCACTGCTTGTCAGCCGGATCATGTTGAGGAAGAGATCCCATGGACCGACGACCGGGATTACTGGTGGCACGAGGAGATGGAGGACAAGGAGCCAGCCTGCTATCCCGAATGGATGGACGCCGAAGATCCGTTGTTCATGCTCTACACCAGTGGTTCCACTGGCAAGCCCAAGGGAGTGCTCCACACCACCGCCGGATATCTGCTGTATGCGGCCACAACCTTTAAGATTGTCTTTGATTACAAGCCTGGTGATATCTACTGGTGCACCGCCGATGTTGGCTGGATCACGGGACACACATACGTGGTCTACGGACCACTGGCTAATGGTGCCACTTCAGTGATTGTGAGTGTCTGATTAGATCTAACAAATAATGGGATTTCTGACTAACTGCCTTTAATACCTGTCTTTTGCAGTTTGAGGGCACCCCATTCTTCCCTGGAAACGACCGGTACTGGAGTGTCATTGACAAGTATAAGGTCACCCAGTTCTACACGGCACCCACTGCTATTCGGGCTTTGATGAAGTACGGCGAGGGACCCGTGCTTAAGCATAACCTGAGCGGGCTCAAGTAGGTTTTCCTGAAACTCTTTGTATAAATCCAGACTTACACCCATATTCTTTATATTCTCCTTCAGAGTTTTGGGCAGCGTTGGTGAGCCAATCAATCCGGAGGCCTGGCTCTGGTACTACCGCCACATTGGCAAGGAGCAGTGCTCTATTGTGGATACCTTCTGGCAGACAGAAACTGGAGGTCATGTCATCACACCCTTGCCAGGAGCTACGCCCATGAAACCGGGTTCTGCTGTAAGTAGAATGTTTTAGCTAAATCAAGGGCAAAATCATAATTAGTTTTTATATTTCTTTAGTCATTCCCCTTCTTTGGCGTGAAGCCCACTCTGCTGGATGAGTGCGGCATTGAAATTAAGGGCGAGGGCGAAGGCTACTTGGTCTTCTCTCAGCCTTGGCCTGGAATGATGCGCACCTTGTATAATAACCATGAGCGGTTTGAGGACACCTACTTCTCAAAGTTCCCCGGTTTCTACTGCACTGGCGATGGTGAGCTTGAAAATCATATTTTCTATAATTGAAAAAAAGGTTGCTAACTCTTCCTTTTAATATTCCCTAACAGGAGCCCGTCGCGATGCTGATGGTTATCTCTGGATCACTGGCCGTGTGGATGACATGTTGAACGTGTCTGGACATCTGATGTCCACCGCCGAGGTAGAGTCGGTTCTCACAGAGCATCCTCGGGTGGCTGAGTCTGCCGTGGTTTCCCGTCCGCATCCCGTCAAGGGCGAGTGCCTGTACTGCTTTATTACACCTAACGAGAACGAGGTGTTTGACCAGAAACTGATTTCTGACTTGAAAAAGATGGTTCGTGAACGAATCGGACCTTTTGCCATGCCGGATGTTATCCAGAACGCTCCTGGATTGCCAAAAACGCGGTCCGGCAAAATCATGCGACGTGTTCTGCGTAAGATTGCGGTTAACGATCGCAACGTGGGCGACACCTCAACCCTTGCCGATGAGCAAATTGTGGAGCAACTTTTTGCCAACCGGCCAGTGGAGGCCAAGTAGATGGTAGCAGATGGGCCAACTGGCAACGGCTAGGATCCCTTCCCCAAAAGGCTTTCTCCGGCTTGCACTGACCACTCCACTCTGCCATCGCATTTCTACCACTTACGTATCCCGATTACGTATCCTGTAAATCTCCCCCTACTTATATGAATTACCTATTGCTTAATGTTGGTCCCGTTCCGGGCTACGGCGTGGTTAGCACCTTCTAAATTCTACCTAGTTTGTAAGCCCTAAGCCCTAAACGTGTGCGTAAGTAAGTCGGTTGGATGGTTTCCAATTTCAGTTACTATCTATCGTCTATATAAATTCTTGTGTATCTGCCTGTTCACAGTAGTTAACATGCTCACAACGCACACATTTTCCAGTTCTTTTGTTTCTTCGTTGTAGTCGTAGTTTAAGTTCTCGCTAATTCGTTGTGATACAAATTTAATTATATATCTTACTTATGTATGTATTTTTAGTAGAATTGATATGAGACAAAATATATACACAATTCCAGTTGTAGCCACAAATTACACAGCTCACACTTTTCAGTTGTTATTCAGTTTGTATGTTTTGTAGACTCTCTTCTCGAACCTTTTCAGTACTGAGAAGACACGCACGTAAGTCCCGGAACCGATCGGGGGAATCGGTTTCTTCCCCATCCCCATTTAGCCCGTAAGATTGAGAACGATACATATCAGTGTGGCATAATGCTTGACACATTCCTACATACGATCTACATGTTAATGAGAATCGCTCGGATATACTATATACACTATATATATATATATATTATATGTTATACGGTCTGAAGACTTACTGCAACGAAACATATCATTGAAGTTACTGCTGCAAGCCTATGAATATTATAGAGGATTTTCTTGTTAGAGCTCGTTATTTTTGGGAGATCGGTCTAGAAATATACGATATCATGGATTGGCTGATAAGGGGCAGCGGTCCCCAGTCTGATTGTAAAAAGATTGTTAGATTTACAGCGTTGGCGAACGGAAGAATGCAATTTACATATCAATATATATAATTATATATATATTTCTGTATATGAACGTATGTGTATAATAAAGTTTATTGTTTTAATGTGTTTAAACCTGCAAATTCCAAATAGAATATTTATAGAGTAAATCCAAAACATCTAAAATATAATCCAATCGGGCTGGCCTGGCTGTTGACTTCTGGGTGAAGCAGTCGACTCCCGACCTTTGACAATCTCCCTAGGTAGATTTTCAGCTTGGCCTTTCAACACCTTGGTGGCAGTGGAAGAACTTGGACTTGGTCGTGGATTAAGTCGATCACCATTAGAATGCCCGACGAAAAGCCTCCGGCAGGCAGTCAGTCGACCGCGGATATCCCACAGAATACCTCGCGTGAACGGAATGCAGCAACACATTTCGGTCTTGAGGACCACGAGGCTACCCAGCAGGATGCTCGGGTAACCACACTGCGACATGCCGAGGTGCGTCGCGGCTCTATGGCGCCTCCAGATAAGCGGAAGGCCTCGCAAATGCGGTTGAATACTGCAAATGAGCAATTAGCACAAACTCCACCTGTTCGGCCTCCCGTTCAAGCACCAACGCCCGAACGCAAGCCTATGGATAAGATGTCATCACGAAGCTCGTTGGTACCAGGTACGCCAATGGCGCCTCCTAAGCCGACGCGCCTCTCCGACGCGCCACGAGAAGATGACGGTGATGTTGAATCCTCTGAACCGGATACAAAAAGGGAGGCAAGAAAATCACAGAAGGTAGTGGCCGGGTCACTGACACCGACGTCATCCGAGAGCGAAGATAAGAAAGAACCCGTGGTCCAGAAGGAACCTGAAGTTCAGAAGGAACCCGAGAAGGTGGAAGAGAAACCTGCAGCTGAGCCTGATCCACCTCCACCACAACCTCAGAGGAAATCCATCGATTTTGCGCCACAGGAAGCGGCACCAATTCCGCCGCCACCCGAACGGCCAGAAGATGCGCCATTGCCACCGCCAATGATGGCGGCCTTACCGACGGATACCAGCGCAGATGAATTGCAGAGTGCGAATAGCAAGATGACCAACACGGACATTACGATCCATCCTACTAAAAGATACGCCACCAAGGCAACCAACACATCCGGAATGATCTATTCGGATGAAGAAGAAGAGGAGCCAGAGGAACTGCCCAGGCTACCGGATCAGTTCCCCGACACCGATCTGGACAACCTATTCCTGTTGGCCTGTCGGGAGGTAAAGAAGGTTGGTGCCATCACTTTGGCAAGTAACGAAAAGAAGCAGGAGTACACGACCAAACAGCACAATAAGGATCTCGTTACTTCCACAGACAACATTGTTGAGGAGGCCTTCATAAAGGCCATTAGTAATCGGTTTCCAGAACACAAGTAAGTTGGTTTTATTAGGGATTAGGAATACCCTTTTAAATACTAACATTTCTTGAGCAGTTTCATTGCCGAAGAGCGAGTTTCAAAGTCGGAAACCGGAATGGTGACCTTAACTGATGAACCCACTTGGATAATCGATCCTATCGACGGAACCATGAACTACGTCCACAATTTTCCGTACTATTGCATATCCGTGGCCTATTTGGTAAATCAGCAGACTCAGTTCGGTATTATATATAATCCGCCCATGAAGAACATGTACACGGCTCAGCTGGGCAAGGGGGCGCAGATGAACGGTGAGATGATAAGGACGACTGGACAGACCGACCTCTCCGAGGCTTTGGTTGTGCAGGAGTACAGCTCAGCCGGGAATGAGGCCCGCGACCAAGTGGCCATGGGTAATGCACAACGACTGCTAAAGAGTACCCATGCGTGAGTAGTTTTGTATATGGTAATTTTTGGGTATAAATTATGCTCCATTGCAGGTTGCGTTCAATTGGATCTTCCGCAATGGGTTTGGCAATGGTGGCCTCTGGAGTAGCAGATGCTTATTACAACTTTGGATTGCATGTCTGGGATATGGCAGCAGGAGTTTTAATAGTCACAGAGGCCGGCGGTGTGGCAATTGATCCGGCCGGAATCGAACTAGACATAATGTCTCGACGATGCTTGGCTGCATCCACAGAGCACCTTGCTCTTGAATTGGGTTCCCATCTGGAGCAGAACTATCCATCGCCACGGGACGACGAACCGAGGTCCGTAAATCCTAATGAATACGGGCCTGCACCTGAGACCAGGGACTTTACTGGCCAGACGGACTTTCCTGATTCAGAGACCCAGGATACCACGGATACCGAAATGCCAAACGAGAAACCAGCGGCGATTGCTAACTGACCACCGGAAAGGCCAGCTGAAATAAAATTTTAGTTATTTAATAAAGTGACAATGCAAGAGAACTTGCGTTTATTAAAATTTGTTTAATTGGTGTTTAAAAAAAATTATCATATTACCCATTCATTTACCGTTAAAAACTAAAAATATTTACTATCGATATGGGATCACTTTTTTGTTCGGTTCTTTCAAAAATTGTTTCTAGTAATTCTTCAATATATGGAAGTCATAAAATGCATTCTCCGAATATGTAAGTTAACGAAAAACAAAGATTTGTTTGTATTTAAAGATAATTTTGAATTTACCGTAAATATATGCGGTTTGAGTCTTCGCTATATTGTCAGTACGGTCCTTAACCAAGAATGAATATAGAATGAATTCGTGGATTATACTTTTATTAAAACGTAAAATAATCTTAAAGAAACGAAAAGCAAGACTTTAATATAAAAATTTTAGTATAATATGATTCCTGGACTACCTGTAGAATAATTGTAATGTTCTCCAATCAGAATAGTTATCTAGTATTTTATTAGTATTTCCCCAAGCTGATTAGAACTTTAGAACAGTTGCGCGTCTCGGTCACTTTGTTGATAATAGTATAATTGAATTAAAACTTGATACTTTTGGATTTGTTAGCGGTTCATTGCAAATCCAGAAATCGCAGAGGCAACACCTCTGCAAAATGGGAGACAGTGTGGATTTGGAAAAGTGCTTCGAGGTGGTCAGCAATCTGGTCTCGGAAGCTGGAAGGGTAATTAATCAACGGAAAAGCAATCGAGTGTTATGAAGCCTTATGGAATTTTCCCTTTTTTCCTGATAATATTCCCAGCTGATCGCTCGCAACAATGAAACCCGTCAGGATTTTGTGTGCAAAAGCAATGACATTGATCTGGTGACTCAGACCGACAAGGACGTAGAACAACTGCTGATGGATGGTATTCGCCGGCATTTTCCGGATCACAAGTAAGTTTGATTGAGATTTTACCAGAATTTTTTAAAAATTTGTTGTATTACAGATTTATTGGGGAAGAGGAAAGCAGCGGTGCGGAGGGAGTTAAAAAACTGACTGATGATCCCACGTGGATCATAGATCCTGTAGACGGGACCATGAACTTTGTACACGCCTTTCCCCACTCGTGCATTTCGGTGGGTCTGAAGGTGAACAAGGTCACTGAGTTGGGTCTGGTCTACAATCCCATCTTGGAGCAGCGCTTCACCGCAAGACGAGGACATGGAGCCTTCTACAATGGGAAGAGGATCCACGTGAGTGGTCAGAAGGAACTGGGCAAGGCACTGATCACCAGTGAATTTGGAACTACACGGGACGAGGCTAAGATGAAAGTCGTCAACGAGAACTTTGAGAAGATGGCCAAAAAAGCGCATGGGTAAGTAATTAACTTTTACAATATGTTTTTAAAAATGGGCTATAAGCTTGGCAATAACATTGGCTATAACCTTGAAAGGTGTTCAATAATATCACCTAAACTTTTGTTTACTGAAAAACTAACTACAATTATATCTTTCAGATTACGAGTTCTGGGTTCTGCTGCCCTTAACATGTCTATGGTTGCTCTGGGAGCCGCCGATGCCAACTATGAGTTTGGCATCCATGCTTGGGATGTTTGTGCCGGAGACTTGATTGTTCGTGAGGCTGGCGGAGTGGTCATAGATCCTGCTGGCGGAGATTTTGACATTATGTCACGAAGGGTTCTGGCAGCAGCCACTCCTCAATTGGCGCAGGAAATCACCAAAGTGCTGACGCAGTTCTATCCGTTACCTAGAGATGATTAGGCTTATAAAAAATTCTTAAAAACTGGCATTTGATGTACCTATAGCGACTTAAACAATGGATCTATATAACTCCATTCCGACCTAAAAAAACTAAAAGCATTTTAAAAATACCGACCATGTACCTAACCAAATAAGTGAATACGCCTAGTCATGGATATTCCAAATAAATTGTTTTGTGTAAACTAAAATAGCAGTTTCATGCTTGATTTTGTTTTTGTAAACATCTAGTTTGATTATCTTAAAATTTGATTGCAATTTTAAACTTATCTCTCTGCTGGCAAAATAGTTTCCTACCCCCTGATAAATCTCCACTCTTTTCCACAACTTTATCAAATCATTGAAAGACGTTTGTTTGTTTGTTTTTCTGTAATTTTATTACAATCTGCGTATGTATTTCGCTTTCTAATTAGTTTTCGCAGTGTTCTTATCGTCTTTTGTTTATTTTTTATATATTTTGTTTTCCGGCTTAGTGTTATGTATATGGTTTTTTGTTCTATTTCTTAGTAAGTTAGTAAAGCGAGCTGGCCACATATCTGATAACTCTGAATGCCCTGTACTGTGAAAGGGAATGAATGGGGTTGGCTTCACCACAGACCACATCTATCGTGGGATCTACGGAAAATGGACTTTTAGATAGTACAGAGACAGTACAGGGGCATTGCAAGGTCGAACTACCGACTCATCTTCGGGTTGTTAAGGGGTGTTATGGATTATGGAACAGCTAAGCAATGTCTTGCATATTGATATATGATATATAGTGTATATATCTGGGTTGGATCTTTGCACTGTATTCGAGTAGAGCGATTAGTGGACACGTAATAAGCCATGATCGTAGGAAGTCGGCCTTCTTGTTGTTCTTGTTCTGCTGTAGTTGTTGAGTATTTCTTGGACTATCGGTAATACCATTTAAAATTTGACACATCATTGAAAAATGTAATCAAAGCTACAGTAGGTAAAAAATTGTATCTATATATTTATTATATATCTGTATATAGTAGTTAGGTATAAGTTAATAATGTAATTAAAAATCTGTTCTTGTTTTTGTTCTTTTTTAATGCTACATTCACAAGGTTCCATTATGCGCACTGGTTTACAAAAATTAACACAGTTTTTTTTTTATTTATTGGGATTTGTGTGTGGATCGAAAATATATATGTGTAGGTTGTGGCGGAGGAGAGGTTGTTAAAAGATATAGGGATAAAGAATTGCTAGCATTGTAAGTTGCGTGTCTTCTAAGATATTGCGAATCGTAGTCTATAAATTGATGTATATAGATCTATATTGATTTCGATATTCTAGTTCAATAAGCGAAAGGTACACATGGAGCATAAAACGGCAGCCGCAAGGTCGATAGCAGCTGCCTCTACATTTAATATTTTCCTTTGTCACACTAATAAAATTTACAAAATTTTCTATATAAATTCAACAATCAATGAAGAGCTTTTAGAGAAGAATCCTTTTTGATTTTTACATACATGTATTTGATATATAGATAGGTTTAAATATATATATATAATCTTTTCATTTTGTTCGTCTGTCTGTTGGTTTTCTTCGCTTTCGTTTTTTTCCATGTAAACTTAACACACAAATTTAGCACCAATCTATTCAAAAATTGATCAAACAATTTGATTGTTCCGAGTTATACAAATGAAGCCTTAAAGCACTTAACTTAGATGGTCTCTAACCCAAGGATCTTAATCGTAAGATGTCAAATGTCTGATCTTAAGTGAGAAACTGAACACTTTCAATGGAGGTGGTTGTTGCCGCAAAGTCTCGTAAGGATCAACGGACAACTCAGTGGGTGTAGTGTGTGGGGGGAGGTTTTTTGTTTTGATTTAAAAATAATCAAGTCGCAGCGATTTAATGTTAAAAAATTAATTTAAATTTATTTACACGCAGATACAATAAACGCATCGATCTTCAATTCGAAATGGTTTAAACTAGGATTTAGATTTATCATTAATGATTTATCATTTATCATTTATCATTTATCATTTTGAATATGTATATATATTATATCGTATGGGATCTCTCCAACTTTTGCAAGCAAACGAAGTGGGTCTTTTTGCTTTTCGACTACGCTAGGTCCGTATCTCTAGATGTAACGTACACATATATCCGATATCGTTTATAGTAGTTAATATTATTTAAAAAACCAGTATTTATCGAACTTTAACGCTCGCTCTTCAGTCGAGTTCTAAATAGATGCCTTGGATATCTGGCCAATGGTGAATTTTCCTTTTTCATTTTTTTTTTGTTTTCAATTTTGGTTAGGAGTGCTGGTGGTGATGTGATGTGGTGTCTCGGAGTGGGAGCTTGATGAGTCAACAATGAAATAAATAATTTATGTTTGCGCATGGATATGTTCAGCGGGGAGTCCTAGTCGCTCTAACACTGCTAGTTTATAGTGTAATATGCATATAGGCTTAGTGAACTATCTCCAGTAATGCTGAGTAGACGTGTATCTGATCTCCGGCCCCCCCATCTTTCTTTCTATAGCTACGTTGCTTAAGCCTACAAGTGATAGAATAACTTTTCTTTTTTTTGTTTGTTGCGGTTTGCTTTGCACGGCCCTGGAATCGCTTGGATCCCCCATCCTACAGCTCGTCATCGGCCTTCGGGATGTCGAAGATCTCGGCGAAGAGGGGCGGTAGGCGCAGCTTGGTCCAGTTCATCCGCAGCCAGTCTAGGTGTGAGAAGTGCTTGGCCCCCAGGGACCTAAGCTCGGGTATCTTGGCCTCCAGCGCTGGCATTAGTTGCAGTGCCTGCGGTGATCCTGCCCGCGAACGCAGGATCTGGACGCGCAATGCCTCGGCCACCAGTTCCCTGGCCCTGCCGATCACTTTGGGCTCACTCAGTCCAGCTCGATCGGAGGCCAGCAGCACCATGGCCGAGAAGAGCCCGATCTCGGTGTCACTCAGTCCATAGGCGTTCAGTGTGTTGGCAAAGTTCAGCAAGGCGTTAACAAAGTCAGACTGTAAAGTTAAAAAAGGAAAAAAAATTAATTTAAATTAGTTTTGAAAAACATCTGTACCAGAGAACGGCAAGGGTACACCCATACAATGAGTGCACTCGAATCATATGTGCCTTTTCGGGACTCAGAGTGTGATCGGCACCCTAAAATAAGGGTGAGTGTCTTGCACAGCACATTTTGAATGTGCACAAATCGGATTGTGCGTTATGAGTGTTTGCGTTTTTGACACCCGCTCAATTTTAGGCACATGAGTCTAATGCACAGACACCCTAAACACTCATAGCAAATGAAGCGAGTGTCTGAGGCACCCATGATTTTTGGGAAAGTGAGTCGGGTGTCTTGAAAGTGAGTCGAGTGTCTCGAGATGAGTCGAGTGTCTCGAGATGAGTCGTGTGTCTTGAAATGAGTCGGGTGTTTCGGGTGTCTTCGACTGATCTGAGTGTTCCGGGTGTCTTCAGTTGTATTGCATGAGCAGGTCATTGAGGGTTAACCGAATAATTTTACATGAAAGGAAGGAAGGAAATTCCAATAATGGTCCCTTAAAACAGGCCAAATATTTTGGGATTTTCCGTGCCAGGTTATCTACCTGCTATTCGCAGTGAAATTGACTTATGAGCTGTATTCTTATATGTATTCTTGATGCAATGCCAGTTTTTTTTTTTTTTTGCGTTTTTTAAGACTTTGTCATTGAAGATTAATTACTTGTAATGATTACAAACTCTTATTGTCTAATATTAGTTACTGAAGACGGCAATAATTTTTATTATTACAAATACACTTTTCTAAGATTAAAATGAATCCAAACGGAAAACAAATTATTTTCTGATTTTTAAGGGGCTATATTTATGTTTAATTATTGGGATTTCCTTCCTTCCTTTTATGTAAAATTATTCGGTCAACCCTCAATGACCTGCTCATGCAATACAGCTGAAGACACCCGAAACACACAGATCAGTCGAAGACACCCGAAACACCCGACTCATTTCAAGACACACGACTCATCTCGAGACACTCGACTCATCTCGAGACACTCGACTCACTTTCAAGACACCCGACTCACTTTCCCAAAAATCATGGGTGTCTCAGACACTCGCTTCATTTGCTATGAGTGTTTAGGGTGTCTGTGCATTAGACTCATGTGCCTAAAATTGAGCGGGTGTCAAAAACGCAAACACCCAAAACGCACAAACCGATCTGTGCACTCGGGTGTGTGCTCTTTTGTTTCTGTTCATGAGTGCGGCACACACTCGAAATTTATGAGTGTGATTCGGGTGCCGAAAAAAGACACCCTTGACGTTCTCTGATCTGTACCCATTTTCCGATTTATTTCCTTTATTACGTATACTTAATTTTCAAAAAATTACTCACATCGTAGAGAATCTCGAGTTGCTGGCGCGTCAGATAGGCTCCATCGTCCAGTGTCAGCGTTGCCTCATTTATCAGCCGGGCCACGTGTGTCAACCAGACCTCGAAGAAGCCCAGCTTAATGAGTATGAGCTGGTCGTCTTGGGTGAAATCACAGAAGCCAGGTACGCGTTTCGCAAACTCCACAATCCGCTGCACGCCGGGCGTCACCCTGGCCGAGAACTGTTGCCACAGCCAGATCTTCTGGAACTCCAGACTCTCTGCCACTGTGCTGGCAATCTGTGGCAAGAAAGTGGATTAGGAAATGTATTCATATGTATATATTTTCCTTACTTACCCCATTTTGTGGCACCGTCACGGGGCGACGCATAAGCTCCCTGGTCAGTTCCTCCGTGTAGGAGCAGTTCAGGCGATGTGCCTGCGAAACGCACATAATAACATCGTAGACGGTCAGCTCGTTGGCCGAACCAGCCAGTCCATCGTGGCACATTCCCACCTGATGATGGGCACCGCCCAGATCTGTGCCCATGCCCACGCCCACCATGTTACCGCCCACTAGTTGCTGGTGTCCGCCCACAACAACAACACCGACGCTTACGCCGCTGCCACCGCTGGCATTACCGGTGCTATTGTTATTGTTATTATTATTGTTATTGGCACTATTGCAACCGCCCAGCTCCGATGGCGAGGAGGCGATCGAACACATTTGTGGCGTTTGTGGAGTACTCGGTGTCTTCACTCTGACGCCGCTAACATGCGGTTGCTGTTGCAGTTGCTGATGTTGCTGCTGTTGTTGATGTTGCTGCTGTTGTTGCAAGAGATGTTGCTGCTGCTGTAGTTGATTCGGGTGAAGAGTGTTGCTGGTTGTCTCATCCACATTGAGGGAGGAAGAAGCGCCTGCGGCGGCGGAGGCGGCGGCTGCTGCTCCGTTCAGCTCACGGGAACGCTTGGGAACGCGACCATAACGTACAGCTGTAAGGGTGAAAGAAAAGAGATACATAGGGTAATTAGTTAGTTAGTTAATTGCTCTCTAACAAGTTAAATACGTCAGCAGTAAGTTGCCTTTTTAAATAGACAAGTTGCAGTATTTAGTTTCGTAGTTAATTTAAATTTTGTAATATTTATCATCCCCATGACGAACTCACTTAATATTCCTGTTTTCAATTATGCATTTCAACTTCTCCATTTTCAATTTCCCTTAATTAATTAAACATATTTAAGCAAAAACATGATGGAAAATAAAAGCAATTTATTTCCAGAAATATTTAATGCTCCGCCCCAAAAGTATGCACCAAAAACCGCATATGAATTTTACAATTCCATTTAATTTTCGAACAGAAAACTAAACCTATAAAATAGTGCGTGTTTTCTTTTTCTAGCATGTATCTTATTAGTCACCTGACTATTTCAACTCGTAAACAAGTTCCCTACAAAATACACAATTAAATAGCTGAAACCAAGAGTGATGATATATACATTGTATTTAGTTGGGAAATAGGAAAAACTGGCACACGCATAAATCTTATAAATGCGTCACACACTTGTGGCTACACTTGTCGAGTATCTGTGAAAGAAAATTGCCAACATTTTTGTGCTATCAACTAGAAAATTTGCGTGTCCTACAAGATTTTATTTTTTGGCTTGTCGAAATGCGATACATTCTGTCGAGGGGAAAAATAATTAATTTCAATTTTCGCTCATCGTTTGAAGTGTTCATTAGCCAGAGGTTTGCTTTTTGGCATTTCTCGGTTTCGTTTCTATCTGCCCGTCTGTGAAAATTGCACAATGTGAAATTTTGCTTTGTGCAACCAGAGACAAAACACATATTTTATTAATTAAAATCGCATTTGGCTGCCCAAAAAACCAGCAGACAAACAAACAAAAACAAAACCAACAAAAAAAGAAACACAAGAAACAGACGCAGCTGCTCCAGTTGCCGGCTTTTAGTGTTCACTTTATCAGTGGGACATTGACCCACTGTGCTCAATATGAAAACGGAGGCAAGTGATTTCGTTGCCGCTGTGTTTTTGTTTTTCCTCTTGCCATATATGTGCCTTATGTACGGGTATTTCTTCGACTTCGTTGTTATTGTGGTCTGGCGGTAGTCGCCGCCGGCGGTTTCCAAACAAGCGGCCACAATAACAACACTAATGACGAAAGCCCCCCTTTTCGCTCTTACTATGCGTCAGCATTTCGGCCTGTCAACATCGTAAAACATCCCATCAAATCAAATAACAAACATAAAATACAGAAAAACCAAAAAACCAAATCCAAAAGTAAAAAAGAAATTTCGCATGCATTGCGCATACGCAGCGTAGACAGGCGATGCCGGAAAAGTCTTTTGCACGCAAAGCATGGTCAACAAAAAGTCTATGAACGCAATCTGGCCAAGTGAAAGATGGCCAACACACTGACCCATATCTGACACACCAAAACATGGCAGCTGTGCTGTTGTCGAGGGTCGAAAAGGTCATTAGTACCACACAGAGAGAAATGAATGGAAAGAAGTCAGACTTGCGTACTTAATACTTCCATTTGGGATAAGCTTTATCATTATTCCTAATCAGTTTTGGTTTTGGTTATCATTGTAGTTAGATCTATTGTTAAAATAATTTGAATAATATTCCTAAAAGTCATGCTGATTTGGCAAGCCAAACGTTCTAATTTGATAAGGTAAGCTCCGAAATGATGACCCATATCAGTGATAGTTTTAGCAGCTTTGGAAGACCCTGAGCTAGAGAGCTGCCCTGACCTTTGTTTGGCGGCAATATGATCCCATTACGACCGCGGGCCAGACGAGGTTTCAGTTCCAGCCTTGTCATGCTCTTAACTCTAGGTTTTCTAAGTTCTCATTGTGCTCGAGTCACGCTTTTCACCGCCCACCGAAGAGCGTTGATCATAAATCGTCTCGTTGGCGTTAATTGTCACAGCTCGTAAATTAATTATGCCATAATTCGCCACACACATAACAATAATAACAACAACAACAACAACAACAGTAGCACCCCCATATAGTCATGCATAATACACTTGGACATTGGGCTTTTGAGGCTGCTGCTCCCACCTTCGATATAAACGCTAATTGCTCATGGCGGGCACTTTTTTCGTTCTTGCTCTGTTTGTTCTAAGGTGTTTTCAATTAGCAACCGAGGGCCTTATTGATTTTGCAGATTTCACCAGGCTTCAAGACGTCGTGAAGTGGAGCAGATCATTGGATGCTTCAGCCATAATGGAATGGGAATTGAAGTATCTATCGTTGCGGAATTGGGAGCACAAGTCAGCCCACTGAATGGCCCCCCCCAGCACATAATCCCCATCATTATTTATTCAATCGACCTGGACCTGAATCTGGAAACCTGGACATGCACATGGTCCCTCTCGTAGCTCCCATCGCACATCGCACATCTCGCCTGTCACCTGTCACCACCCACGGAGCAGTTCCCATTGAGACCAGGTCAACACCATCCATTACACACGCTTCGGGCCAAGTTGGGGAGCCCACATAAATAAGCAGAGCGTTGCTGGCCTAAGCTCGAACTTTTTTTTTTCCCAGCTAAAAGCATCTTAAGTGATTTAGTGCAGCCAAATGACGACCAGGGTAAAGGGAAGGGGACTGGGGAGTTGAAGAGTGAGAAGTGGCAAGCGAGAAGGGGTCGGAAAAACTCGTTTAGGCCAGATTCTCAGGCAGAAGCACACTTGGGAAAATGAATTTGATGTCTGAAATCTTAGAGTTAAGTTTTTCAATCTTATGGCTCAAAATGAGGTTTCCTGTTGAAAAAATCTTAACTAAAATCTAAAATCTTTTCTAAATAAGGTCCACTTTTTTTTCTAGTGCACAAAGCTGAGGGGGTGGGGTTTCTCGCTAAGCTGAGCTCCCACTTCTGGCCGGGGCAAAAAAGGATTTAGGTCACCGAAATCTGAGGCAGCAGAAAGAAGTGCGAGCAGCGGCAGCGGCAGCATCGCCTCGTAAAGTGGCCAAATGTTGCCCGCATTTAGCTTGATTTTCTTTTTTTTTTTCCTGCTCAACTTTTGGTCGTAGTCTTTCGTCGCTTTTCGGACCAAAAGCGGGCCATTAGCATGCGAAGAGGGCCAAAATGCCAACTGCCAACAGGCAACATCCAACTGCCAAAGCACCGAGCTCCGTGCTCCAGTAACACATGCACAGACACGGATATATACATTATATATATATATATATATATAGTTTGATATTTTTTCGGCTTTATCGTGCGCATGAATGGCCCCGTCCCGCTCCTCAACTTCCTAGCCATAACCCCCTGCCACCCATTTGGTGACCTCGTTTGAGGTCGTTCGTTCACCTGTCGCTGCTGGCTGCACTTTATGCACTCTACATTTGCATGACTGCCTGAGTGTATGTATATGTGTGTGTGTGTTTGGGGCTGTGTGTGTGTGCGGGGCTATGTGTGTTTACCCAGTTACGAAATTGTCCAAAATGCTGCGGCTTACTGCCGGGTGAAAGTTTGTTGTTTGTTTGCTGGGCCACAGAGCAGACCCCTAAAGATAGCTACTTAAAATACCCTAACTGGGTGTTGGGAATATATTTTCTGGATTAAAAAGTAGTTAAGTATAACTTTAATTTGCTTAAGAAACTTACTCTTCCGAAAAATGATGAAGAAATGTCTTTAAAGATTGAATTTCTTTAGTGTGATTCCCCGTGAGTAGTTTTACCTTAAATTTAAGGTTTAAATAATAGTTTCTTCTATTTAAATAACAAGTACTAAAGGATTATGATTGTATTTTCTAATATGACAAGTTATAATCTTAAATATTTATTTAGACATTTTATAGACTAAGCCAAGTTAGCCAGAGAGTTCTTTGAAACCCTTTTCCTTATCCAAGCTGATAGACCCCATAAAAGTTAACCCAATTCAACTCCAATTTTCCCGGAATGACTGGGTAAAAGTGTATGCATTTCTTTTTTTTTTTCGTGGCGTGCACAAAACTAAACATTACTTTTGAAGCTTCTTTTGTTTGTTTTCATATGCACCTGGGTGTGCCAGTCAGCCAGTCAGCCAGTCGGCGAGTGAGCGAGTGTCGCTCTATCTGGAACAGCTAAAATTGTTAGTTGCGTGCTAAATTTGTTGCTTTTTCTCTTCTGCTAGTTGGCTAAAGCAACAACAACAACAAGGGTATTTCGCACGCAGCAACCGCCCACACGCCCCAGGCAACAGCAACAACTACAACAACATAAGCGGTAGCAACAATAACAAGCTCAAAAAAAAACTGGAAAATTGTGTCAAGCAATTTGCGTAAATTATCGCCATGCTGTTGGGCGCTGCTCGTTGGATTTTTGCCTATTCGCCGCTGCCTATTCATGAGGACAATTGCAGTTTAATGACCGTTCAAATTAACTTTGCCTCACTTCGATTTGCCATGACATATATTTATTTGATTTGATTTTGCCCCGATTCCAATAGCAATGTGTCTTGAAGAGGCAGCTATGAATGTGATGGTTATTAAAAATACTTTCAAAGAGTTATAAGTTATATAGAATAAGAATTAGTCCCGATTGGCTGGGCAATTTTTCACATTTTGTGGGAAATCACAAACGAAATTTTCGCGATCAAACCACATGCCACGTTCGCAGTGGCGTAAAACTGGAGTACTTTCCACGCAGGTGCAAAATAGTTGACAATGCTGAGGATGTGGAATATTCTCTCCGTGGTAGCTACATTTTACATTTGCATCGTAGCAAGTTCCTATTGCAGAAGAACCGCCTCCTCCAGGCGTGTTTGAGGATGAGCATTGGCCATCCGATCTCGGACACTGACCAGGCGCACAGGCATTCAAGCTTAAGCTGAAGATCTGACCCGCTGGGCACTTCTCTTTCTCATAAGAACCAATGCCGCAAAGGATATAGCCAGAACAGTCATCGCAATCGGGTAACAAATCGCCAGCCTGGTGACCAGAGCACACGCAAATGGCATCAGCACTGCAAGGATATAGCTCTCCATAGGTAGGATAACATTCGAGGATCAGAAGTCCTCCTAGGAATAGCAGAACTGCAAAGTGCGAGGGTATTCTTAGGTAGAGGATATGTAAAGTAAATCCTTCTAGTGCTTACCCAACTTCATGCTTTCAGCAATATCTTTGGCTTGTAACTAATTATTTGCAGTAATTGCAAGGCATTTTATAGGCTTTGATTGGAGTTACATAAATGCTAGACAAACTACGGCATTTATTGACTCTGCAATTGACCCAACTCCCAAGGGAACTCCCACGGGAACTCCCCAACCAACCACTTCAGATAGTGTCCAAGCTAATGTTTATTTTATAACCAATCACTGCTAATGGTATTAGGCTGAATAAAACTGAAGTTAAGTCGATGGATAACCATTATCATCATCATCATCATGATCATGATCATCATATGCACATATAGCACGTGTTCGCACATTTTACGTTTTTGGGGCAGGGCAAACAGTCAGAATATGAATAAAAAATCGAGCGAGAAATCAAAGGCAGCCAGCAGAGCGGCCATATATGCAAATTTTGAACTGACCTACTCCCATAAGAAAATCAAATAAAGCCAAGCGAAACGATACGAAACGAAACTAAATCGACTCCGACTCCGACTCCGTCTCCGATGGAGAACGGGGGAATAATATCAAAAATACCAAAAAAGAAAAAAAAAGCGATGGCTAAATATTTATGCAAATCCTGAACGGAGGGCGTCGATCTCAAGTCAATCAATCAGATTGACAGCGGGTGTTTGACAGATTCCAATGGCAAATTGCGGGCAATTAGCGGAGATTTTTTGGAGAAAGGCTTTCCCTGAAGTGTAAATGGAATCCACCCCTGGCCGTCTATAAAAGCGACAAAAGGTTGTTGTGTCTTTTGGCTCTGCCTTCCATTCACATGCTCATCTAAGTTGCTGACCCGCCTTCAAAATCCCCAAACCCAGAGTTCCCCACAGCGACCACTCACATATATCTATCTATATATGTATATATCTATATCTATATATCTATGTAGGTATACATAATTCACTTAAGCGCGCTCAACGAAGCGAGATGAATGACCTCAATTTGAATAGTTGTCCATATAGCCAGCGCGATTCCCCCTGAATTCTTCCATCCCATCGTTCTCTTGGACTTTTTCGGGTGCCATTTAAATCAACAAAAGCCACCGCCTACTTTTTTTTTGACAATCTCTTACTGCCTTTAACATTCTGTTTTCATGTTGATTGCATTCTTGTAAAATTATTCAAATGCTCCACAATTTTCGGGGCCAGTTTTCTCCCATAAAGCCGAGAATCGGGGTTATAATTATAGTGCTGAAAAGGAGTGGCTGCCCCGACGCCTTCGTCTTTGCCATACATCTGTGGCAGCAGCCATCGTTATAACGATATAACCATCATCGTCATCATCATCATTATTATCTTCGCTGTCGCAGTCGTTGCCGCTGGCATCGTTTTTCTTTTTTCTGTTTTTATCTATTTGACACAATTCTCTGGGCAAAGTTGAGTTCTCTTCGGAGTCCCCCTTACCCCCCTTTACCAACCCGGATTTTTGTTTAGTGACACAGTTTATATAGCGTTCTCTTTTTTTTCTTTTTTTTTTTTTTTTGTTTTGACTACCTAATTAGATAAAAGAGCTGAGAGAATCTTGGGTGGTTGGACTCTCGCTGATAGAGTGGCTAGATCGAAGCCAGAAAATAACCATTTAATGGGTAGAAATTTAGATAAATTACCAGCGACAAGGCTTCATCAGAAATCTGTAATAACTGGCGCGCTTCACGTCCGGCCATAAACATTTCAATTAGCCAGCAGCTTAGCGCAGATTATCGTTAGCAAACTGCCAAAAACCAAAAATATAAAGGCACTGAAAGAAATTTTTATGAATATATAAAAGAAATTGGTTTTTTAAAAGAAAGAAAAAGAGCAGGAAAAGTTTAAAGTTTAACAGAAATTGAAAGAATTTTTCATGTTTGAAAGTTCTTTTAATGTTACAGTTTGAAAGTCACTGCTTAAAACTTAAAGTTTTTAGCAGAAACCCAATTTAACAGCATTTCTTTCAGTGCTTTTCCAGTCGATTTACAATATCATTAAGAGTATTTTGAACCTGCTCGAAAAATCATTTGGCATTAAAAAAGAAACCGCATTATAGAATCGAGATTACGGTCAGGAAAAATGTGCAAAAAAATTGAAAGCGCGCGGAATGAAAAGCGCTAAACTGCAGCCGCATTAAATGAATTCTGCGCAGTGTAGATTCCGTGGAATTACCACATCATTAAACGTATTTTGAACTTGCCCGAAAAAGCATTTTCTTAAACCGCATTTATATGGGCTGCTGCGTCAGAATCGAAAATGAATTCCAGCCTCGAATTAGGCATGCAAAATTCAAAATTAAAGCGGCCTGAATCAAAAGAGCGTTTAACTGCCGGAAGCCAGTCTAACTGTAAAACCCCAAAGCGGCCAAACAAGTTGAGAGAGCAACTCGGCGTATGAGTAATGCCAATGAATTATCGCCCCAAGACGTGCGATTTTGTAGGGGCCTTATCAAATATTTGTACTAAAATGTGCGGCTAAATTAAAACAAAGGCAAAAAACCAAACAAACAAACAAACAACAAAAAAGTCAGACAGCCGAAAAAAAAAGAAGAGAAGAGGAAAAATAGGTTCTGATGCTCCAATTTGATAAGCGGCGGGCGCATTAGCAATTAGCGAATTAAATGCCAGCCCAGCGAGCGCGCGTTTGTGCTATAAATGTTTCAATGAACTAAAGAAAACAAAAACTAAAACCAAATCAAAAGCCTTCGGATCCCATCTATCTGTTTGAGGGAATGAAAAACCTAAAACCTAATGAAAAAAACAAACAATTAAATTAGCCAAAAGGCAAAACGTCAGGCCGACAAGACAAAAATGCGAATCGACAGGGCAAAACTAGAACGCCGCCACATTTGTGAAATGCCAAAGACACACGCATCTATCTATGAAACGGATACTTAAGTACTGAAAGAGCCACAGATACAGATACATTCAGAAGATGAGATCAACGCTCCCAAACAGATCCGTTGATCGTCGACTGGTGCCGGGTGATCGATCGTTAGGGCAGCAGCTGCTGGCAGCCAGGCAAGAATCAGGCAATCCAATCGAATTCGAACCCCGTGATTGATTGAATTAATAATACGAATTAACAGCGCCAAGTAGGTAAGATCAATGATCGCGAGCCAAGTGGAACGGCAGGCGTTTCGTGGGCGCTTTCATCTGCAGAAGCTGCCGGGAGTGTCTGAAGCTATCAAAACACCAGAGATATGGATCAAAATAGTCGGTAATCATCTCTAGGTGGATTGATCACTTAACTCGGAAGCTAACTAGTTGAGTGAGAAAAACTATTAACTTGAAGTTATACTAACAAGAGGTTTACTATTGATTTATTTCTGCTTTTAAACTTTCAACTTTCAGAACTATTAAAAAAAATAACAAAGAAAGGTATGCTTAAGAGCTTAACATAGTTTATCTAGTATGATGAAATTCTGAGAATGGATGTCTGATTTCTAGAAAGTGTTTAAGGAGAAGAAACTACATAAATCAGCATGAACAACATTTTTAATTTATATATTTTTAAGAATTTTTGTAAGCTTTTTTTGATAATTTTAATGTTTGATGATTATTTTTTGAAAGTTTAAAATGCAATTTTCAATGATTGATTAAAACTTTTCAAAAATTTCACAAGCCTTGCTTGCTAATTAAATTATAAATGCTGTCAATTATTAATCATTAACAGTCCGAAGCTAATAAATATATTTCAAAGTTAGTTTTTGGCTTTCAAATTAAGATAAATATAAATTAAATTACAAGTTAAATCAAAGAAGTTAATGTCTTATTGGGATTTCTAATTGATCTTCAAAACTGTTTCTCTGAGAAAATATAATCACATTACTGATCAGCGACTTAAGTCTGCCCCTCGATTTGCTGATCCCATGTAAGACTCATTGCCTTCCCTTTCGAATCTCGGCATAATCAGATGCCGCCGCTTGGCATCGATATCAGCAGCTTCCTGTCCGACGGCCCCTACTGTCTCAGCATAATAAGATCAACATCAGATCCGTCACCATATTGTCAATGAAAGTCAACAAGAGTCGTTGTCTTCATTATGAGGAGCACTCTCGCCCAGATACTCCATACATACTATATATATATATATATATATATGAAGAAGCAGACGATCATTGACCGGGACGGAGAGTTGCAAGCGCGTGAGTGATTTCCCCCGTCAGTTGGTTCCACCGTTCTCCATCCGCCTCCCCCCCTTTCACCACTATTCCTCCAGATCCTTTCAGGGCACTGGCCAGTGGCTACCGATCGGTGGTTATAAGGGGGAAATCGGGAATGGGGACCAGTGCGTTGAACTATAAACGTCGTTCTTCGTCGTTGTTCTTGCTGGGGCATTTCATTCTTGACTTTTTGCGCTGTGCGTCGTTTGGCAACGTCATCGTCATCAGCGGGGCAGGCGATTACGATCGTCATCATTATGAGAGTCTGGCCTGGAGTTCGCCTGCTTGTTTTGCAATATCATAATCAGTGGCCCTCCTCAGCTCTCTCTCTCCCCCTGACCATCGTAGCCACCAAGCTCATTTAGCAATTCGGATTCGGCGGTGCAACGAACGCGAAATTCAGCTTTTTTTTTTTGGGGTAAATTTCGGTAAGTTGTTCTGACTCCATATCGGTATATATATATATATATATATATATTCCCTTCGAGTTTCTTACTTCTGCACAGTAAACAAATTTTTGGGTTTTCTTAAAAGCAGTTCAAGGATTTTTCGATAAGAAAGATTAATCTTGAAAATTGTATTTTAGCGAAGAAAAAATATTTCTTATTTATGATTACTAACTTTGTTTAAAAAAAATGTTATGTTACTGTATTTAGTAAGTAAAAAACTGATAAAAATATTTTGCTTACTAATAATAACGGGGAATTAATCAAAATATTTGAAAATGTCTGACTTCTTAGAAAATTTTCAAAAATAAAAAAGAACTGATAAAAAGTGTTTAAAAACCTAAATTTAAAGTTAAGAAAGATCTAAATTTTCTTCAAGTGTCAATCGATCAGCTGTTGGTTGGCGTTGCT